CATGGAACGTGTGGTGGCCTCACAACTCCAGGCATTCTTGGTAGACACGGATTATCTGGATCCGGCACAGTCTGGCTTTAGGCCGGGGGATGGTACCGAGTCAGCCTTGGTCGCTTTAGTGGATGATCTGCGCCGGGAGCTCGACAGGGGGAGTGTCTCCCTGTTGGTGCTGCTGGACCTCTCAGCGGCCTTCGATACCGTCGACCACGGTATCCTTCTGGGACGCCTCGCGGGAATGGGTCTTGGAGGTACTGTTTTGCAGTGGCTCCGCTCATTCCTCGAGGGTCGGTCTCAGAAGGTGTTACTGGGAGACTCCTGTTCAACCCCACAACCTTTGTCTTGTGGGGTTCCTCAGGGTTCAATACTGTCTCCCATGTTGTTTAACATCTACATGAAGCCGCTGGGTGAGATCATCCGGAGTTTCGGAGTGCGATGTCATCTGTACGCGGATGATGTCCAACTCTGTCACTCCTTTCCACCTGCTACTAAGGAGGCTGTCGAGGTCCTGAACCGGTGCTTGACCGCTGTGACGGTCTGGATGGGGGCGAACAAATTGAAATTGAATCCAGACAAGACAGAGGTACTCCTGGTCAGTCACAAGGCCGAACAGGGTATAGGGTTACAGCCTGTGTTGGATGGGGTCGCACTCCCCCTGAAGACGCAGGTTCGCAGTTTGGGTGTGATCCTGGACTCATCGCTGAGCCTGGAACCCCAGGTTTCGGCGGTGACCAGGGGAGCATTCGCACAGTTAAAACTTGTGCGCCAGCTGCGCCCGTACCTTGGGAAGTCTGACTTGGCCACGGTAGTCCACGCTTGGTTACATCCCGTTTAGACTACTGCAACGCTCTCTACGTGGGGTTGCCTTTGAAGACGGCTCGGAAGCTCCAATTAGTCCAACGCTCGGCAGCCATGTTACTAACGGGAGCGGAGCGCAGGGAGCATACAACTCCTCTGCTGCACCAGCTCCACTGGCTGCCGAGCTGCTACCGGGCTCAATTCAAAGTGCTGGCGTTGGCCTTTAAAGCCCTAAACGGTTCTGGCCCAACTTACCTATCCGAACGTATCTCGGCCTATCAGCCCGCCAGGACCCTGAGATCTTCTGGGGAGGCCCTGCTTTCTATCCCGCCTGCTTCACAGGTGCGGCTGGCGGGTACGAGAGACAGGGCCTTTTCTGTGGTGGCCCCGCGGCTATGGAACGCCCTGCCCTTGGAGGTAAGATCAGCCCCCTCATTGATGGTATTCCGAAGAAGATTGAAGACCTGGATGTTCAAGCAGGCATTTGGCTAACTCAGTGCAATGAATGGTAATTGACTAAAGGACTGGCAATATGGACGATGAGCTGGATCATGTTTTTAGTTAGGAGTTGAACTGGATTGGTATTGATGTATGAATTGTGTATGATGTTTTTTATGCTTTTAAACTGTATACTGATGATTGTTATATTATGTTGTAAACCGCGTTGAGTCGCCGGCTAGGCTGAGAAACGGCGGTATACAAATATAGCAAATAAATAAATAAATAAATAAATATTCAGCACCACTGTTGTTTTTGTACTGACGTTGTAACAGCATTCAAGAGGAGAGAATAAAATATTTCAGTCCAAACTGTGTGCCTATGGAGGAAAGTGATACAAAACCATGGGCAAGATCCAGCCTTTCAGTTCTGTTCATGGAGTGATTTTAATAGTAGCTAACACCTAGGATGGAATCATGGCAGTTAAAGTGAAATCATAGTATTACAATTGTGTACAGGGCCCATGGCAGCTACTTACTTCACTGATGTCCATCTGTGGAACTACAAGGAGCATATTTCTACAGGTCACACACACGCACAGGCTATGTACCCATTGCCCTGGACTACTCCAGGGTGATGCAGAAGACTGAAAAGAGCACTCTCTAAGCATCACTGGCTCTGTGCTCTCTTCCTCCCTCCTCCTTTGCTGCCTCAAATATATATTTACTTGCTGCTATGGCTGTGTTTGCCATGTGATTGATGGCCACGTGCGAAGTGGGTCCTTGGGGAACCAGCCTGCCATTCAGCTCCCTTGAGCCCTTGTTTGCGTTGGCTGCTCCTTTTGAGCTTGCCTTCAACAACAAAAAAGATCAAGAGGAGAAACCTCTGCACCATTCATATCCTAGGAACATGGACAGCTGCTTTAAAAGCTTTAGTCTATCAAGTCTGGTGTTTTCAGCCCTGAATGACAGGAATGATTATCTGGGTTTTCAGGCAGAAACCCTTCCTGGCTTTGCCAAGAAGATGTTTTCCCATAATAATCATAATAATAACCAGGCCTCATCCTGCTTAATTTCCAAAGTCAAAGGAAAGTGGGAATTCCGGGGTAACATTGTGATCTGTTGCAAGCCAGCATAGTTTAAAGGTGTTTAGTAGGGCTGGGCGGTTTCGTTCGTTAATTTCGTAATTCGTTATTAATTCGTTATTTTTTTGATAACGAAGCGATATTGAACCATTCAGGCGCAACTAAAAAACGAAACGAATTTTTCCAATTCGTTTCGAAATTGTTTCGAAATTGTTTCGTAATTGTTTCGAAATTGTTTCGTTATTATTTCATTATTATTTCCGTATGTCTGGTGCAAGTTTTATAGTCATTGTTTGTTTTATCAGTGATAAAAAAAATTATCACACCAACAGTCAACAACAGAGGGAGAGGGAAGTTTCAGAAGTTCCCCCTGTCCCATTTGGAGGGTTTTTTAGCGTATTGCGCAATGGCGTCCGCCATTAAAGAATTGATTCGTTATTGTTTTGAAATTGTTTCGTAATTTCTGAAATTTCGTAAATATCGAACTTTTTAAAAGAAAAATTTCGGAATTCTTTTAAATAACAAAACGCAAAAAACCCCTAAAAACGAATCGAATTTAGAAACAATTTTTTCCGTGGTTGGACAGCCCTAGTGTTTAGCCATGGAAACACATAGGGTGAAGTCACTTTTGTTTTTCAGTCTCCAGGGAAGGCAAAGGCAAGTCCCCTCTGAACAAACCTGCCCCCCCCTCCCCATGACAGGGGCTGCCATAAGGTACTGCAGGTTGGAGCTTTTCTCACCCTCTATGCTTGCTCTAAGCCTGGGAAATTTACTTTACTCCCAAAATCCTTACCCTAGTATGGCATGTTGCATAAAGAATTCTGAAAGTTATCATTCAAAATGATCTTTTGTTTTTCATACTGCCTTTTCTAGCCCATTTATCATGGAGAAGGTTTCCCTTCTGCCTGAGCTATTCTAGACATTTGATCAGTCAGCCACTTTTTAATGAGCTGTCCAGGCAGAAGTGGTCTGTCGGCAGCTAATTGTGCTCAGCAGTAAGTCACACAGATGTTCATCCCCTGACCCTGCATCTTCCTTTGCAGGAAAAACAAACTGAAGCAGGGCAGTTGAACTGGAGTCTTTGTGTCTTTTGGTGGGAGGCATGTAATATCTCTGCCCGCTCCAAACTTACTGGGTGAAGCATGTTATTCTGTAGACCCTCTGTTTACAACAGTGCCCTCTACTGTTGAAAGGGAGTGGTAGTAAAATGCAACAAGCATTGTACTGTCGAAGGCTTTCATGACCGGAATCACTGGGTTGTTGTAGGTTTTTCGGGCTATATGTCCATGTTCTAGAAGCATTCTCTCCTGACGTTTCGCCTTCATCTGTGGCAAGCATCCTCAGAGGTTGTGAGGTCTTTTGGGAACTAGGAAAAACTGGGTTTATTTATCTGTGGAAGGTCCAGGATGGGAGGAGAGACTCTTGTCTGTTGGAGTTAGGTGTGAATGTTTCAGTTGGCCACCTTGATTAACATTTGATGGCCTAGCAGTTTTCTGTGTTCTCAGATAATATGCTACATTCAGGTTCGTTGATCAGGTGCTCTGCTATGGCTGACTTCTCCGGTTGAAGTAGTCTGCAGTGCATTTCATGTTCCTTAATTTGTATTTGAGCACTGCATTTGGTGGTCCCTATGTAGACTTGTCCACAGCTGCATGGTGTCTGGTACACTCCTACAGAAGTGAGAGGATCCCTCTTGTTCTTTGCTGAATGTAGCATCTGTTGGATTTTCTTGGTGGGTCTGTAGATAGTTTGTATGTTGTGTTTCCTCATCAGCTTCCCTATGCGGTCAGTGGTTCCCTTGATGTATGGCAAGAACACTTTTCCTCTGCGTGGATCTTTATCTTGACTCTCGTGACTTGTTCTTGGTCTTGCAGCTCTTCTGATGTCTGTGGTGGAGTATCCATTGGCCTGTAGAGCCCAGTTTAGGTGGATCAGCCATGGACATCATGGCACCTGCTATTCTCACCCTCCCAGGGTGGAAACACAGCACAGTCCTGAATGCAAAGAGAGGCTCCCACAGGCTCTGGTATTTCAGCAATTCCATAGGAGAATGCCTGGGAGCAAAGATAGGATTGACATAGCACATGCCAACACCTGGGGGCAAGCAATCTTGCACACTCCTTTTGGCATCTTGCCATGCCTTCTCCCTCTCTATTCCCAGTTTTCTCTCCCCCATGGGATGTTCCTTCTGGCAAGGAGGGGGAGGCACATCTGAAATAGTAATTTGGACAGACCTGGAGATGGAATGTAATAGACCAAGAATGGAGAAATCATCTTTTCTTTTTAGCTTCCTTTTTCTGACAGCCATCCAAGCCCTTGGCTCCCTTTCTTGATGAAGCCCAGACATATAACGGTCACACAACATTGTTATAACACTTTAATGCCACTTAAATGACAGAGCTCTATCGTCCATAATCCTGGGATTTGTAACTTCTTCATGCTTTTTGATAGATTATTTTACATTTCCATTCCTAAACTGCAAATCTCAGTTTAGGAATGGAGCCATGGCAGCTAAAGTTATATCAAAGCACTATAGTTGTGCCATGTGAAAGAGACCCTAGCGCCTATAGATCTAGTTCCATGCTCATCCACTTGTCCTTCCTTTCATTTTCTTTTTAATAAACCAGAAAGTCACATCCTGGATTGGCACTGAAACAGTTGCTGTTCTTGCTTCATGTTGCAGGCCGAGTGCATGAACTTTGTCAAGATCCTGCACCTCTACAACCGTACACACCTGTATGCCTGTGGCACTGGAGCCTTTCACCCCATCTGTGGCTTTGTGGAAGTTGGGCAGCGTGTGGAAGTAAGTCTGGGAGTAAGAGTTTCATAAAGTGAAGAGAAATGCAGGGGAGAGGGATGTCCTGAGATGTAGAAAGAGTGAGGCTGGGGAAATAAAGATTCCCAGACTCTCTTGTCAGGTTCTTCTTGTAGACATGTTTGCTCCTGCCTTTTTCCTTCTCCAGGATGCTGTGTTTAAACTGGACCTTAAGAGCTTAGAGGATGGGAAAGGGAAGAGTCCTTATGACCCACGCCACATGGCTGCCTCAGTGTTTGCAGGTGAGCAAACCATGTGCCTCTCTTTTCCTGATTATTAATAACAACATCAGAAGTATCCTAGGAAGTTCTGATCTAGGACACTTCACTGCCACAGGCAAAGATTTTCCCCACTACCATTGCATGTCCCAAAGCAAACTCAGCTGACCAGTGAATCTTACTTCAACATGAGAAATGGGACACTGCCCTCTACCACTTCTGAAGTCCACAGGATAGCTAAAGGCATTTCAACTCAAAACAGTGATCCATGGACTGGCACCATCAGATCCCAATCCCTGGAGAGTTTCCAGGAAAGAAAGAAACAGTGGAGAGAAGAGCTCAATACTTCTTTTAGGTTCTCCCAGGATCGGCTAAGTTCTTGACTTTCATCACTTTACCCAGAACAAAAGGATGGTTCCTTTTTTTGGATAAATGTTATGGCACAGCATTCACATTGATCCACGGATAAGTCGAACCATTTTTGGGGGGTTGATTTTTGACTGAAATTTCTAGACTGTATAGGGTAAACAAAGAAATACATTTATTAATGTTGTAATAAATTTCTTTGCAACCTTGAGGTTTACATTAAGGAGTAGTTGATACATTTCTGAGATAATGTAAAGAATAAGAAAGAGTGTTGTAGTGGCTTTGTTGTAGTCTAGGATTGGAAGATTCTTGTCCAGGCATGGCAAACTTTGGCCCTCCAGGTAAGCTGGCTAGCATTTCTGGGAGTTGATGTCCAAAACACCTGGAGGGTTGAAGTTTGCCCATGCCTGTATCTTCTCCCTATGATGATCCCTGAGTGAGCCCAAGACAATCACTTTATGTCAGCTTGACCTGCCTCACTGTTATTGTGGGGATAAACACCCACGCAGTCTCTCTAAAGCAGCGGTTCTCAACCTGGGGGTCGCGACCCCCAGGGGGGTCGTTTGGCAATTTTGGAGGGGTCGCGAGGCCGCCTCCTTAGGCCCCGCCCCCAATGCCGCACCCAGCCGAGGGCTCTCCTCGTGCGAAGTCTCCCTCGGCTGGGCCGCGGTCCCGACTTTCGGCGAGGCCACAATCCAGCTGAGGCCTCTCCTCGCGAGAAGGCTTCTTTGGCTGGGCCGCGGTCCTGCCTTCCGGCGAGGCCACGATCTAGCCGAGGCAAGGAGAGGCCTGGGCTGGATCGCGGCCTCGCTGGAAGGTGGGACCACGGCCCTGCCGAGGGCTCTCCTCGCACGGAGTCTCCCTCGGCTGGGCCGCGGTCCCGCCTTCCGACAAGGCCGCGATCCAGCCCAGGCCTCTCCTCGCACGGAGTCTCCCTCGGCTGGGCCGCGGTCCCGCCTTCCGACAAGGCCGCGATCCAGCCCAGGCCTCTCCTCGCGCGAATTGCGAGGCCGCCTCCTTAGGTCCCGCCCCCAATGCCGCACCCAGCCGAGGGCTCTCCTCGCGCGAAGTCTCCCTTGGCTGGGCCGCGGTCCCGCCATCCGGCAAAGCCGCGACCCAGCCGAGGGCTCTCCTCACGAGAAGGCTCCCTTGGCTGGGCTGCGATCCCACCTTCTGGCAAGACCACAACCCAGCCCAGGCCTCTCCTCGCGCGAAGTCTCCCTCGGCTGGGCCGCGGTCCCGCCTTCCGACAAGGCCGCGATCCAGCCCAGGCCTCTCCTCGCACGGAGTCTCCCTCGGCTGGGCCGCGGTCCCGCCTTCCGACAAGGCCGCGATCCAGCCCAGGCCTCTCCTCGCGCGAAGTCTCCCTCGGCTGGGCCGCGGTCCCGCCTTCCGACAAGGCCGCGATCCAGCCCAGGCCTCTCCTCGCACGGAGTCTCCCTCGGCTGGGCCGCGGTCCCGCCTTCCGACAAGGCCGCGATCCAGCCCAGGCCTCTCCTCGCGCGAAGTCTCCCTCGGCTGGGCCGCGGTCCCGCCTTCCGACAAGGCCGCGATCCAGCCCAGGCCTCTCCTCGCAGGAGTCTCCCTCGGCTGGGCCGCGGTCCCGACTTTCGGCGAGGCCACAATCCAGCTGAGGCCTCTCCTCGCGAGAAGGCTTCTTTGGCTGGGCCGCGGTCCTGCCTTCCGGCGAGGCCACGATCTAGCCGAGGCAAGGAGAGGCCTGGGCTGGATCGCGGCCTCGCTGGAAGGTGGGACCACGGCCCTGCCGAGGGCTCTCCTCGCACGGAGTCTCCCTCGGCTGGGCCGCGGTCCCGCCTTCCAGCGAGGCCGCGATCCAGCCCAGGCCTCTCCTCGCTCCCCCCTTGGCAGGTTCACGCTATCCATCAGGCCCGATGGACAGCGTGAGCCAGCCAAGGGAGGCTGCTCCGCGTGGTCTACTCACAAGTAAAGCATCTCGCGAGGTGCTTTACTCACAAGTAGGCCGTGCGGACCTGCTCCTCCCTTGGCAGGCTCATGCTATCCGTCAGGCCTGATGGACAGCGTGAGCCAGCCAAGGGAGGCTGCCCCGGCGCTACATGCAGTCATGCCAGCCACATGACCTTGGAGGTGTCTATGGACAACACCGGCTCTTCGACTTAGAAATGCAGATGAGCATCACAGAGTCAGACACGACTGGACTTCATGTCAGAGGAAAACCTTTAACCAGGAAAATTGTGGAAGATCCATGATGGGAGAAAGAACTCTTGTCTGTTGGAGGTAGGTATGAATGTTTCAATTGGCCACCTTGATTGCCATTTCATAGCCTGACAGTTTTTAGGGAGAATCCTTTGTTGAGAGGTGATTAGCTGGCCCTGATTGTTTCTTGTCTGGAGTTCCCCTGTGTTTGAGTGTGGTTTTTTATTTACAGTTATAATTTTAGAGTTTTTTAAATACTGGTAGCCAGATTTTTGGTCAGACTAGAAATAGGAAGATTTCCCCTTCTCTGCTCCTGGAATTACTGCCTCAAGAGGGCGAGAAAGAACCCGCTCCCTCTCAGGGCCCTTCCACACCGCAAAATAAGATATCTGCAATGTGCAGAGGGATTTTTTAATTGATTTAAAAAAAACCTATAGTCCGGCCCTCCATCGGTCTGAGGGACAGTAAACTGGCCCCCGGTTTAAAAAGTTTGAGGACCACTGGTCATGGGAATTCTGTGTACCAAGTTTGGTTCAATTCCATCGTTGGTGGAGTTCAGAATGCTCTTTGATTGTAGGTGAACTATAAATCCCAGCAACTACAACTCTCAAATGACAAAATAAATCCTCCCCAACCCCACCAGTATTTAAATGCGGGCATATTAGGTATCCGTGCCAAATTTGATCCAGTGAATGAAAATACACCTGCATAACAGATATTTACATTATGGTTCATAACAGTAGCAAAATGACAGTTATGAAGTAGCAACGGAAATAATTTTATGGTTGGGGGTCACCACAACATAAGGAACTGGATTAAGGGGTCACGGCATTAGGAAGGTTGAGAAACACTGCTCTAAAGTAAAAGCAGGTATAAATGTAACTCATAAATACATGCATAAAGATGTGGGTTTTTTTTAATCTGTTGTGTCCAGGTGAAGAGCTTTATTCCGGTGTGGCTACTGACCTGATGGGCCGGGACTTTACCATCTTCCGCAGCCTGGGCTCTAGGCCATCCATCCGTACAGAGCAGCATGATTCCCGGTGGCTCAATGGTCAGTGAAGGATTTGGCATCTTTAAAATGGGAAACATGGGTTAGAAATTGGGCCAGGGGCTGCAAAGTTAGGGTTTTTTTTATTCAGTCTTCCTGTTGCCCTTTTTCTAACTTTATTGTCTTAGAGGTTATTGGATCTGGAAGAAGAAGAAATGTTCTTTATGTGCCAGAGAAAACTATGGGTTTGGCAACTCTTTGCCATCAGGGCCATCACAGATAGAGACAATTTGATGAAGGCTGCCATCTAGCGGTCAGATTCCGATGTGCAGGTTCGTTATCCATCACAAGCCAGAAGGCTAATAAGTTGCTAGAGAGTAGACACAATATGGGAAATCTATCACTAGCATCTTCCCCAGGGTTCTTGTTTGTTTGTTCCTTTTTGTTCTGTTTTGTTCATTAATGGCACCATATTTCAGATTTGAAGATCAGGGAGATTTCCTGCAGAGAGAACTGTTGGGTAGGACTGAAATATCAGTACTACAGTATCCTCCCTGCTGGAACATTAAGTTAGGATGAGCCCTGAAACTGAGCACAAACAGACAACAAACACTAAGTTTGCCCAAAATATCTCCCAAGCCTCAGCACTGCTTTTACTCCAACCTCTTCACAGCACTGATCAAAACGGAGTATTTTGTAGAACTTCAGAGTTGTGTCGCCAAAGACAAAGCATGCATGACCAATATCTAATGCATATATGGTAATCTTTATCTGAGGTCCATGTGACCGGTACAGAATGTGTTTAGGACATCTTTTTGATGAGGATATTTCTCAAGGTCTGTCATTGTATGTAGCCATAACATCAGGTTAGTAGTCCTGGGCTCATAATATTGCAGCTACAGAATTTCTGATATAGGACATAGTTCAGTTAAACTTAATTCAAAGTACAGGTTATTCTCTATAAAGCCCTATACGCTTCAGGTCCAACCTATTTTCGTGATCTCTTTCTACGAACCAGCGCAGGCTCTGAGATTGACAGGGGAGGCCCTTCTCTTGGTCCCACCACTGTCTCAAGCATGGTTGGTGAGAGAGGGCCTTCTCTGTGGTTCCCCCCCCCCCAGCTCTGGAATACCCTCCCAAAAGGGGATTAGATGAGCCCCCACCCTTCAATCCATTCCAGACCCAGAAAACATGGATGTTCAGACAGGCATTTGACCTTGAGTAGGCTGAATGGGCCCATATGAATCTGACACTTGTCACCTTGTGAATTGACAGTAGATCGTTTTATCTACTGTTGCTTTAAAATTGTATTATTTTTATTTTATGTTATATGTGTTGATGGGGGTTGCTGTTATAATTTTGTATGACTTGTTTATACTTTTGTACCATTTTTAGCTGTTGTACATTATATGTGTATCCTGAAGTGCCTTGTAAGTCGCACTGAGTTGTTGTTGTTGTTGTTGTTGTTAAACAATACAGGCTATGACTGAAATGGCAGCTTTTGTCAAAATGAAGTTAAACAGTGCCCAGAATTCACCACATTTGCTGTAGTTCTGGGAGTTGTGGCCCAAAAAATAATGGGGGAAATGTTCTGTTGGATTGCTGTTGATAAAAGGAAGATGGGCCCTGCATTTGCATTTTTCTCCCCTCCCTTATGATGTTCCACAGATTTCAGTCATGAAAATAGTGGGTCCTGGGAACAATTTGCCTCCTACATGGTTTTCACATGTCCATCACACACATACATATCAACATACTCATACATAAAATGATAGACTTAGTGCTTGGCATGCTGAAAATCCTAGATTCAGTTCCTGAAATATCCAATGAGAGCAAGGATAATTCTGTTGTACTTTAGTTTCCAGCATCACTCACTGTTGGTTGTACTTTTAGGGTTTATGGGATTTACAGTCTTATTAACATTTGGAGGGTCCTCTTGTGTAGTAAATAAGAAATGTTGTTGTTCTGGAGAGCCATTTCTCATCCTAGCAGGTAGAATCCTAAGATTGGTAGACCAGTAGACCAATCTAAAAAGCTTTGTGAATACCAGTACTGCTGTTACTACGAAAACTTTGGAGAGCTTGATTGTTAACTCTCCTGTGTTGAATGTAATTTCTCCCTTGAAAGAACTTGGTACAGATTGTATGGGAGAGCATTGCTAATAGCCAACATTTAGGCGCAGTTGGAAGAGAAGCTACATAGTCGCTACACTTCCAAATCTCAGTTCGGCAAGATTAACTCCTCATCCTTTACTTATCTTCTTTCCCTTCTTTCTGATCAAAGAGCCTAAGTTTGTAGATGTCTTCTGGATCCCAGAAAGTGAGAACCCAGACGATGACAAGATCTTCTTTTTCTTCCGGGAAACGGCTGTGGAGGGATCCCAAGGGCTGGGCAAGCAGACTTTTGCCCGGATTGGCCAAATTTGCCGGGTGAGAGTCCTGCGCCATCTGGGGGTGAAGAGGATCCCTGGAGAGAGGGTGGATGCAAGGAAGAGGGCAAGGGCCAGTGGGTTGTTACTAGTCAAACAGGTGTGTGTGAGAGAGAGGGGGGATTGCTTTGGCTAAGAGGTAACCTGGCAGAAGGGTAGAAGCTTTCAGTGGTTCTTGAGGCCAGGAGTAGTGTGTCTCAAGCACTGAAGCTTCTAACAGATAGTTTACTACCAGAACTCAGGGGAATGTTCATCTCAGCTATGCCAATAAAGCACCAAGTATCCTTGGACAGCAATTCCCCTAATTCTTCAGCATTAATCATTCTGGTTAGAGGATCATGGGAGCTGTAGCCCCAAGCACTGTTCAAGGTGGGATCAGGTCTAACAAACTCAAGTTAAAAGAAAGGCTGATTTGGCTGAACACCAGAAGGAACCTCTTGAGAGAAAAAATGGTCCAGCAAAGGAACCTATCCCCTAGAGTGGCTTGGTAAGGTCTCCTATGAATGTCTTCAAAAAGAGGCTGAACCTGCTGAGAGTGCTTTAGCATTGAACAGAAGATTGGATGTGAAGACCCGCAAGGCCCTTTCTACCTTTAGGATTCTATGACTCTTAAGTTCATCCCCATTTTCAGATCTTTCTACTTTGTACATGCTTGAGCAGCTTGCTGGGCTGAGTGAGTCGGTTGGCCTTCCTGTGAACCAAGCCCTATGGCAACAGCCAGGTGAATTTGGGATGTCTGAGTGAACAGAAAAAACTGAAGTGTGTAACTAACACAGGGGAGAGGTGCCTGGTTGGCTTTTTAATCAGTCTCTTTGTCTCCTTGCAGAATGACATGGGTGGACAAAGGAGCCTGGTGAATAAATGGACAACCTTTCTGAAAGCCCGGCTGGTCTGTGCTGTGCAGGGGAGTGACGGGAGTGACACCTACTTTGACCAACTCCGTGAGTGACTTGAGAGGTTGGGTTAGGCTGGGCCCAAAAGAGATCGATGTTGCTGGAGCTAGTTTTCACTGGAATTAGTACACAACAGAAAAAGGAAGTGATAGGCAGGAAACAACATTGAAGCTGTCCATGCAAGATGTACATCCTATGCTATTTTTGTTTTTCCCACAAGGGATAACTTAAAAGCTACAGGAATCTCTCCAATTTTCTAGACTGGAGTAGGGAAACTTTAGCCCTAGAATCATAGAATTCTGGAGTTGGAAGAGACCTCATGGGCCATCCTGTCCAATCCCCTGCCAAGAAGCAGGAAATTTGCATTCAAAGCACCCCTGACAGATGGCCATCCACCCTCTGCTTAAAAGCCTCCAGAGAAGAAGCCTCCTCCCCTCCAAAGAAGGAGCCTCCCCCTATCATGGGAGATTTGTGGTCCAGTCACTTGACCATTTGGAGTGAAACTTCCTCCTCCAGGCATCATGGGTTGTTGCATCCTTTGGAAAGCTCAGACAACATGTCCATTGGTTAGAGAGTCAGAGAGTTGTGGGCCAAAACATCTGGCACAATTTGACCAAACATGAGTTCACCACCTCTGGTCTAGATCTTAGTCTAGAATGTTCTGGGCATATGTGCCCATAGAGAACCAAGCCAAGGGTGAAGATTTTTCAGAACATGACCTGGAAGAACCAATTGTGATATTTGTTTTTTAAAAAAACTAGCTTGATGGTGATAATTATAGTTCTAATACTATGCAATAATTTTCATGCTAAACCTAGAGTTCTTTCCACAGTAATTATTACCTTTGAAAATCCACGTACTTGCTGCTTTCAAATGTCAGCAAATAATACAATTTCATTTGAAATAATGTGAACGTATAATTTCTTAATTTTAATATTTAATAATAGCTTCCTAATCCCCTCCCACCTCTGTATCATAACTTGATCCTATAACCTGAGTTGTAAACTCGAGTAGTTTTGTATTCTTGCAGACTGACAATATTATTCTACATTTTTAATTTTTGAAGCCCATAGCTATAGTACCTCTTAATTCCTATTAAATCACACCACAGAGGGGCTTGATTTCTATTTTCCTTGAGGTTTTTGGTGGATGGATTACAGAATGGTCACTCTTGAGGAAGGTCACTGTTTCCTTTGGATGGAAAGGGTATTGCCATGGTTTGGGTGGAAATGTAGAGGCTAATCATTCCTTCCATTCATCTTCTGCCATGTTCAGGTGATGTCTTCCTGCTGCCAACCAGAGACAAGCGTAACCCATTGCTTTATGCAGTTTTCACCACCTCCAGGTAACGATAATACTCTCCAGTGAGTGGCTTACATCAGGGTGGGAAGGCTTCATGTTTGTCAGCTCTACTATGTTTTAGTATAAGAATCCCAACATCAGCAAACAGAGCTGGGACACAGTGTACACATATCATCCTTCCATGCTACACAATTATAGCACAGTGATTCCACTTGACCAGCCATGTTTGCTTCTTATGTAATCCTGGGATTTGCAATTTAGGGAGGGAAACCTAGAATTCTTGGCTAGAGAGCTACAATGCCTCATGAAACTACAAATTTTAGTATTCCGTAGGATGTTGCAACAACAGTTAAAGTGGCATGAAAGTTCTATAATAATGTATAGTGAGAGCACTCAGAGTCAAATAATAGGATGCCTATGATCACATTCTGAAGTTAGGAACTTGTTTTTGGTGCCCCTTTTATTATTTACTTTATTCATTTTACTGTCCAATCCTAGTTACCTAAAGCTTTTTTTCCCATTTCAGCATTTGAAAATAAGTCAAATATAGACAAATGTGGCAAAACTATGGTTAGGTGGATCCATAATTGGTTAAGTGAGAACCCAGAGGGTGCTCACCAGTGCTTCCTCTTCATGCTGGAAAGAACTGATGAGCAGAGTGCCGCAGGGTTCTGTCCTGGGCCCAGTCCTGTTCAACAACTTTATTAATGACTTAGATGAAGGGTTAGAAGGCTTGATCATCAAGTTTGCAGACTACACCAAATTGGGAGGGATAGCTAATACACCAGAAGACAGGAGCAGAATTCAAAATGATCTTAACAGATTAAAGAGATGGGCCAAAACTAATAAAATATAAATAAAAATAAAATTTCAACAGTGACAAATGCAAGATAGTCCACTTAGGTAAAAAAAATGAAATAAAAAAACAGAATGAGGGATACATGGCAGTACTTGTGAAAAAGATCTTGGAGTCCTCATGAACAACAAGTTCAATATGAACCAACAATGTCATGTGGCAGTTAAAAAGTCAATGGTATTTTGGCCTGCATCAATAGGAGTATAGTATCTAGATCCAGGGAAGGCATGTGTCGTGAATTCCCTTCCTGTTAGGCTTGGTAAAGCTAGAAAGTAAGCCCAGGAAGTTCAGCAGCCATTTTGAAAAGGGTGCCGGGGGTATCCATTTTAAATCTTATTTCCTGAAGGGGGTGTGCTTAGGTACTTGGAGGGAAATGAGAGGAGTTAGTGATTGGCTGGGAGAGAGTGGGTGGAGCTTAACTTAGAAAAGGAAAAAAATACTTTAAGGGGACATTTTAAAACCCTGTCAGAGGGGATTGACTCTGGGTGTCAAAGGGGAAGGAGCTAGGGGCTTGGAGTGGAGAAGAGATTAGTGAGAGAGGCTTAAAGTGGTCAGTTAGCTAGCAGAGATAGCTAGTGGGAAGATTACAGCTATTAGGGAAGATAGCTGGGGAGTGGAGTGACAGATCCCAAAGGAAAAGGACTGTCTGTGTGGAGTTTGGGGTTACTTTCAGAAAAGAAATCCTGTCAGTAATCTCTGGAGGGAGAAAGGAGGGTAACTTGCAACTAAGTTTTGAACTGCTTAAAGAAACCACACGCTTTTATGACAATATTCCAAATCAACTAAGCTTAATGCCTATTTTGTTCAACTTTTCTTAAATAAACATAATTGTTTTATTGTTCACAACATCTGCCTCATGTGTGCCTCGGTGTAGGAAGTTTTAAAAGCAATTTACTGAAGAAGTAAAAGGTATAATGGTGGCAGCGTATATTCTAAAGGAGAAATCCTTTCAGTGTTACCTCAGTGCACAGGCCAGAGTGCGAATCCAGCACATTCTTGCCTAAAGATACCTCAGGGAAGCTAAAGGCTTTGCTTTTGAGTTTGGTGGGTGCCAGAGTTCTTTCAAAAGGTTTTTCAGCCCGAAGAAAGCTCCAGTTTCGTTATAGCTTTTTGATTTTGGGTTTTAATTCCCAGAAGCCATATTGGTGGGAGATTAGCCTCAATTTTTTTATAACTGGGTTCAGCGCTTTGGTATTTTTTACATTCACAAATAAGGCCTCAACTATATTATATTGATGGCAAGGGGCTAGGATTTTGTTCCCCAATTAAGCCTCCATCCATTATTTTTGGTTTGCAGCGGTTGGGATTTGTTCACAAATAAATCCCTATCCTTTATATCATGTTACCCCTCTATTCTGCTTTGGTCAGACCACAGCTGGAATATGTGTCCAATTCTGGGCACCACAGTTGAAGAGAGATGTTGACAAGCTGGAATGTGTCCAGAGGAGAACAACTAAAATGATCAAGGATCTGGAGAACAAGCCCTATGAGGAGTGGCTTAAAGAGCGGGGCATGTTTAGCCTAAAGAAGAGAAGGCTGAGAGGAAACATGATAGCCATGTATAAATATGTGAGGGGAAATCATAGAGAGGAGGGAGCAAGCTTGTTTTCTGCTGCCCTGGAGACTAGGGCGCAGAACAATGGTGTGATGAATTGCCTACCTTTTAGGCCAGGGAAAGCTCAGAAAGTAGGCCCAATCAGGGCAGCTAATCACCTCTCAACAAAAGATTCCCCCAAGCACTAACAAACCACACCAAAAAACTGCCAGGCCATCAAATGCTAATGAAGGTGGTTAGTTGAAACATTCACGCCTAGCTCCAACAGACAAGAGTTCTTTGTCCCATCCTGGTCATTCCACAGATTTATATACCCAATTTTCCTAGTTCCAACAGACCTCACTACCTCTGAGGATGCTTGCCATAGATGCAGGTAAAACATTAGGAGAGAATGCCTCTAGAACATGGCCATATAGCCTGAAAAAACCTACAACAACCTAGGCCCAAGTATTTCGGCAGCCATTTTATGAGATGGTGCTTGGAGGCAGCCATCTTAGAGAACCCATTTCCTAGAGGGGGCGGAGCTTAGGAGCAGCCTGGAGGGAAATGTGGAGAAGCTTTGTAATTGGCTGGAAGAAAGTGGGCGGAGCTTAGCCAGAGTGGAGAAAAAAATTGCCTGTAAGGGTGCGTTTTAAAATCTGACAGCTCAATTTGGGTTTGTGCCTTGGAGAAGAAAGTTAGGTTTTGGAGAATGTTAGGAGAAGATAAGTCAAAGAAGTCAAAAGTGATCTGTTAGTAAAGATGGATAGCTATTAGGTAGAATAGCTGGTATAGAGAATAGGCAGATCCAAGGGAAAGGACTGTCTGGAGTTTTAAGGAATTCTAGTCAGAGGGAAGTCTGCTAGTTTCCTGAGGGAGTGAAGAGTTATTTTTGGAACTAAGCATTTGGAACTAAGCACTGTTTTTAAAGTAACCATACGCTCTAACTCAATATTGCAACCGTTAAGCTTAAGTGCCTGTATTATTGATATTCTCTCAAATAAACAACTTTGTACTTTATTAAACAACTGTCTCAAGAGTGCCTCTATGCAAAATAGTTCCATAGCAGTTTAAGGAAACAGAGTTTAAGATTGGTGGCAACATTTATTTAAAAGAATCTCAGTGTTATTTACCTCAGAGTTCTGAGCCCTGAGTGCGAATCCAGCACAACACAGCTTACTTGAAACCTCTTGCCAAACCAGAAGCTAAAAATTCCTTTTAAGTGTGGTGGTAGCCAGTGATCACAGAACATTACCTCAGAAAATAGTGTGTTGGTGGCAAAGTCTCAGCAGCCTCCAAACACTTAATTGAATTTATATAATAATCCTTTTTACAAGTAGTGGTACAGCATTGGGATTGTGAGTTTAAATCCCCCCCCCCCACCAGAGCAGAAAGTCATTTGAGTTTGGAGTCAGCCTCTAAGTTATTTAATCAAACTTGATTTGATTAAACAACACGGTTCCTTTACAAATGGCTTCAAACTACAGGAAAGGAGATTCCACCTGAACATTAGGAAGAACTTCCTACTGGTGGGAGCTATTCAGCAGTGGAACTCGCTGCTCTGGAGTGTGGTGGAGGCTCCTTCTTTGGAGGTTTTTAAACAGAGGCTGGATGGCCATCTGTCAGTGCTTTGAATGCAATTTTCCTGCTTCTTGGCAGGTGGTTGGACTGGATGGCCATGAGGTCTCTTCCAAATCAAGGATTCTATGATTCTATGGTAAAGTCGGAAAAGTAATTTTGTTGCTGTTCTTGAGAGTTAGAAATACTGTCTGGATGGTTATAGATCAGTAAATCCCAGTACTTTCTCTTGATCCCATCCTTATCTCATTTTCACTCAAGGCTGTATTTTCCCACTTGGCCTTCTAATAAAGGTTTATCCAGACATGGTGGGTGCAGAGTGGTTTCAAACATTACCTTATAGAATACAATTCCTCACACTCTCCAACCAGCATAGACAGTGCCCCTACTGGCTCAAGGATTTTAAGAAGTTTAGCCCAAAAGGTAACTTTTCCACTCTGTAAATGGGATGACATCCTGTGGCTACTTCCATACTTTCTCCCAGCTTCCACTAATGGTTCTCTTTACGATGTCCCTACAGCACTGTTTTCCAAGGATCTGCTGTCTGTGTCTACCACATGAATGATATCCGCAGGGCTTTCTTGGGGCCCTTTGCTCACAAAGAGGGGCCCAATTTCCAGTGGGTGTCCTACCAGGGCCGTGTCCCTTACCCCCGCCCAGGAATGGTACGTGCCTTGAACTTAGGAACATGGAATGGGCCACGGTATTTTTCTTCCCCTTTTGAGATGTGGACACACAGAGAACCAGGCCTTTAGAAATTAGAAAGATAAAAGCATAAAGATAAGTCTAGAAAGATAAAAGCAGACTGAGGAGAGCTGGAAAATAGATATAACGGAAGGGAAGGGATTAGGGAAGGAAGGATGTTGTAACTGGACTGTTTTGCCAGCATTCTCTGGGACTTGAGAGCTTCAGTACAGAAAGGAAATATGAGTCAAAACTGAGGCGCATCAGACAAGCTGTGTGGAAGAATTCGGGAAGTATTGAGGTACACAAAGGAAATAAGAGTCAAAATAGAGGAGCATCAGATAAACTGCATGGAAGAATACGGGAAGTATTGAGATTATGACTGGCACCAATTTAAGCTTTAAAAAGTTAATTGTTAGAGTACCACACCCAGAGTCCCCCAGCTAGCAGGACTACTGGAATTTTTGGTGCTATATTTCCAAAAGAAGTAACTTGCTCAAGTTCCAGAACAGTAGGTGAGCAATGCAGAAAAACATGAAGGGCTGCAATTGGGAGTTTCTTGACATATAGAACCTTGCCATGTTGGGACATTCTGTCCCCATTCACCTATTTTTTCTTTCTACCCCCTCAGTGTCCCAGCAAAACCTTTGGCACTTTCAGTTCCACCAAGGATTTTCCAGACGATGTGATCCAATTTGCCCGCAACCACCCATTAATGTACAACCCTGTCTTGCCTCATGGTCAGAAGCCTATCTTTTTACAAACCAATGTGGGCTACAGCTTCACTCGCATTGCAGTGGACCGCGTAGCAGCTGCAGATGGGCATTATGATGTTCTCTTCATTGGCACAGGTGTGTCTGCATTCCTCCCCTTCTGATGGGGGCCAGGTTAACACCAGGTGCTCCATAAAGCTACCTACCAGGGGATGTCCCTACTTTAGAAGTCAAGGAAATGTGTATTTCTAAGACCTTTTTCTCATACCAGTGTGAGTTATGAGCTGCCATTTTCCTTATCAGGTATCAGTTTCTATTCTGGAACAACCATGGGCAATGTTTGTAGAGTAGTTGTGTGGCATGTAAAAGAGTAGTTGTGTGGCATGTCCCTCCACCATCATTTCATTTGCTGGATCATTTTTCTGCTTCTCCATGGTCACAGAGATTCACAGCCATGTTTCCATGTTTCCTCATGATGTCATTTAACATCACGTAAGAGATTCACAGATGGCTGCTATGTTTCCTCATGATGCCATTGAACTTCACATGAGTAAACACGTGTGTACTATAATCACAGAACAGGGGACCAAAGGAAGCATCAGCAAGTAATGAAGCTGGGTGTATCAATCAAAGAATACCTAGCTATTGAATGCATTGAGGAGCATTTATGTATTTCACTGCCAAGAGAGACTGGGAACATACATATTGATCTAAATGAAGCACTGGGAGGTTTCCCATCCCTGTAAGTTAAACAGAGGCCAGAAGCAAAGCCTTGCACAAGAGACTTCTTTTTGATCTTGCCCACTTTTGTGTAAATTAAGTAGTTTGGCTGTGGACCTTTGCATGGCCTCTGGGAAATCTTTCCTGAGATGTGGAGAATGGAGGAGAGAGTAATAATTCTGCATAGCTTCCAGAGAAATACTTTTTTTGTTAGCTGCCATCAAGTCAACGTTAGCTTATGGCAACCCTATGAATGAGAGATCGCCAAGTCACCATGTCCTCAACAGACTTGCTTAGGTCTTGCAGACTCAGGGCTGTGACTTCCTTGATAGGATCTATTCATCTGGCATGTGGCCTGCCTCTTCTCCTAAACCTCCATCTTACCAAGCACTGTCATCTTTTCTAGTGAGCCATCTCTTCTAATGATACGTTCAAAATAAAACAGCCTCTGTTTAGTCATCTTACCTGATTTGTTTAGTCACCATGCCTGATTTGTTCTAGGACCCATTCATTTGTATTTTTAGCCAGTAGAAATTCTCTTCCTCCTGCAACCTCCTTAATTGAGTGTAGTTGCCTTACTTTTCCCTCTGTCTGGCAGATGTTGGCACAATACTGAAGGTGGTCTCTGTGCCCAAGGAGACGTGGCAAAGCATGGAGGAGCTGCTACTGGAGGAGCTGCAAGTGTTCAAGGTAAGTTTGGCCAAAAGGAGGGTGGACTGGAACTGAGGCAAAACCCTGGGTACCCTGGAAAGGTGCTTGGATCCTTGATTGCAAATGAGCAGTCACTGAGAAGAATATCTGGGAATTGAGGTTACCAGCAATCCAGACATGTTACTTTCCTTTTTTCTCCCTTATTGACAGGACCCTACTCCAGTTACCAGTATGCAGGTCTCCTCCAAGCGGGTATGTGGTACAACAAAATGATTTTGAAAAATCGGATGTTTCTTTGGTTGGAGGGAGCTTCTATTTTGACCCCAAAAGGCTACCTAGATATATTCTAGTTACATTTAATAAATGCTGCCAGAGAAAGAGTGATATCCATTAGGGCCTGAATAGGGACTGGAATGTGTATATATTTTTCCTCATGATAATATTGGTTATGTCCCAACTTTTTCAATACGTCCTATGATATCCATCCATATGCTTTGGAATGTTAACTCTTTTGGACTACAACATCCAGAATCTCCCAATCAGCAGTGCAATTGTCATAGTGACTGAGGGGTTCATCTATGGGATTTAAGGGACTCTCTGCTCTGAATCCCTTATCTATAACTTAGAAATAGCTGTTTTGACTTGATTCTCCCATTGGTTTATGAAGCATTGCTTTCATCATTGCTCACCATTGCCTACAATGTGGAGCACAGGAAACTGGCTCATACAAAGTCAGATCATTGACCCATCTAGCTAAGTATTTTTGGTATTGAGTGCTAGCATGTCTCCAAGGTTTCTGTCACGAGCATATTTTAACCTAATCCTACCTGGAGATTCCTGGTATTATTGCTGGGCTTCCAAAATTAGACAAGTTCTGGGTGATGTGGTTGGAGAAGGGAGTCTCATGAGACTGATGTTCTGCTAGGAATGACTGGGATACAAGGGAAATTAAGGCAAGATCTGATTGAACAAGACATGGGACTTTAGGAGCAGAAGATGGTACTTCTCCCATGAGAACCAAAAGGCTGCTTTGTCTGCTTCTATCTATCAGTCATTGTCAAGAAACCCCAGATTGGCCCAGGGCCTGGCTACCATTTCCCACACCAAAGTAGGGAGAACACCTGCCTTTCCTCTCTCTGGAGAAGAGTGGTCAAGATTGGATCATACTATTGAATCTGATGTGACTGCAACAAGCACTTAGTAGATTTTAATAAGGCTATCTTACTTTGTCATCTCACAGCAACAGCTCTATGTGGGCTCCAGGGCAGCCATCTCCCAGCTGCCTTTGCACCGTTGTGGGATCTATGGCAAAGCCTGTGCAGAATGCTGCCTTGCAAGGGACCCTTACTGTGCTTGGGATGGCACTTCCTGCACTCGCTACATGCACAACACCAAACGGTAATGGCCGGCAGGAAACCACAGGGCATGATGGGTACCCTCCTCTTGATGATGGGCAATGTGGGGAGGATGGAGCCTGTTTTGTACTTTGAGCCATTTTTTAATTGCTGAACCTCAAATGAAAACCCTAACATCATCTCCATTTGTAAGCTTGGCATGAGCACCATTCTTCTCTGTTTGAGAGCAATGATTTCTGATAGCCCTGAAAAAGTCCAGAGATTATGTGACTTCCATCCAGGGCAGTCAGCGGCATCACTCTACGCAGACGTGCCACACATAATAAAGATTAATCTCTAGATTGTTATTACTGGGTTGCTCCTCCCGTATGGCTCCTGCATTGATAATTGGCCTGATAGCTGTATACTCGAGTCTAGGAGAAGCCCTCAGGTCAGAAAGTTCCCAGCTCCCTGACTATTTTGTCTGTTTTCTTTCTCTCATCTGATAGGCGGTTCCGGCGCCAGGATGTAAGGAATGGAGATCCCAGTATCTTGTGCTCTGGAGGTCAGTGTGATTAAACCCCCTGTTCTATTTTTCATATCAAGTGGGTCTACCCTTACAAAAATACAAAATATAAAATAGTGTCAGGATAGTGTGGTTTCATTATTTCATTCAGTTTTTGGTTTGTTGTTGTGTGCCTTCAGGTTGTTTCAGATTTATGACAATCCTAAAACAAACCTGGAGCCACTGGTGGCAAGGGGTTGTACCGCTGAGCTGCTGAACTTGCTGACTGAAAGGTCAGCAGTTCGAATCCAGGGAGCGGGGTGAGCTCCTGCTGTTATCCCCGGCTTCTGTCCACCTAGCAGTTTGAAAACATGCAAATGTGAGTAGGAAGGTAGCGGCGCTTCATGCTGTCATGCTGGCCACATGATCTAGGAGGCATCTACGGACAATGCCAGCTTTTCGGCTTAGAAATGGAGACAAACACCACTCCCCAGAGTCAGACTTGACTAGACTTAATGTCAAGGGGAAACCTTTACCTTTACCTTTTAAAACAAACCTATCACAGAATTTTCTTGGCAAGATTTGTTCAGAGGGGTTTTGCCCCTTGCCCTTGATTCAGACCCTGGTCTCCAGGCTCATAAGTGCAGTGATCACACCACTACACCGCAAGTTGACTTGCAGTTTCTCAAGTCAGTTCTGACACACATACACACACAAACCACTACATGCTGGTTCTGGCTGTTGGTACAATGACTACATTTTTTTTCTCACCACAATTCCCCCATTCCTTGCCTTCACTCACTGTTTGTCTCAAACTTGATGCACAAGATTTAACACCAGGACACTTTGGTATATAAGAAGTTTACAAGTCTGTCAGCTGTTGGAAACAAGGTTACCCTAACTTGGAATGAATAAGAAAATCAACTCAAATCTACTTTGTCTAAGTAGCTTCCTCTCCTTTTTAGTAACCTGAAAGATTAGTAAATATTTGTGACTGAGTAGAATCCATGCTTTGAGATAAGGTTGGGCCCAGAGGTCCAGGGCTATCTTTCAGAACCCTTGATAGCCTTTGAAGTCTAAATTTTCAGACAAAAAATGCAACTTGGAGCTCCTAATAGCCTCCAGGAATTGGGGGTTTGCAAGGAGATATAACTCAGTGACCCACAGAGTTATATCTGAAACTGAAAAGCCTCTTTCAGTTTTGATTGTGTTTGTTTGGGGGGTTGTGGATGGGGGCAGCTTTTCTGACAACAAAATATTGGCACCTGAACTTTTCAGAAGTGACTTTACAGAAGTTTTTGCTTGTTTGCAAGGAGAACAATTCCCTTGCATACAAAAATCTCTAAAAATCTCAAAATAGTGAACCTTCACATATAACCAGGACTTCTTCCTGAATCCATATACTATATGTATACTTATAGTTGTGCACCAGGAACTGTAGCATTTTTTTTCCACCAATAAGCAGTCGGTCCGGCTTTGTCTCTATCTTGGACATCTATGTTTGCTCCTACTTATCCTTACCTTACTGTGTTCACTGCTAGTGGCATTCCACCACATATCTTATGTTGTTCCTGATGTATCTGTTCAGATCCCCAGCGAAACAGTGTGCAGGAAAAGAAACTGTATGGAGTAGAGGGCAGCAGTGCCTTCCTGGAGTGTCTTCCTAAATCCCTGCAGGCCCAGATTATGTGGACATACCAGAAAACCAGCAGTGCCCCGCGGAAGGAGGTATGAATCTGGCTGTTGTGTGAGAGTAGTCTGACAGAGAAAAATAGAAACAGGTCCAGCAAAATCAAGTAGTGGCTGTGGGATGCAAAGGGAAATGGAGGCATGAGTATCAATTCCTGCTTCCATTTCCCTTTGTATCTTTTTTTTTTCAGATTGAGCCCCATCCCTTACTACAGTGGTAAGCAACTGCTTGGGGGCCAGGGACCAGTATGCTCCAAGAAGCCCTCATAGATCACACTTCCATCCCATAGAAACCCCTTTTTCCTCTGTAGTCCCTCTCAAAATGGTGAGAGGAAATAATTAAACTATTTAGGGTAATATACTTTGTGTGACGGTATTTTTGTATATTTTCACGCATTTGGGTAGCTTTCTGTGCGGTTTGGGGCTAAAAGATAACTTCTTTATTGTGGGATGGGGGATCCAAGAGCTGCATTCAGACCATGAGCCACACTTTGCCCACCCCTGCTTTGAATCTGTTTTCAAATAGAATTGCTGTTAATGGGACCTGTTCGCCTACCTCCTCCCTCTCTCTCTCTCTCACCCATCCTGATTTCTGTTCTCTACTTCTGTTCCCAGAAATCCATTTCTCTTTCTTGTGTTGACCTTCAGGTGTCATGGGATGACCGGGTCATCAAGATGGAGCGGGGAATCCTGCTGCGCAGTGTGCAACGCAAAGATGCCGGCCTCTACCACTGCCAAGCCACAGAGCATGGCTTTACCCAAAATTTGTTGCATCTCAGGCTTGAAGTCATCAATGCCCAGCAGGCCGAAACTCTCTCCTTTTCCTGGGAAGAGGAACCCACACAGCCCTTCCATCGCAAGCTTTGGTACCAAGACTTCCTGCAGCTGGTAGATCACCCCAACCTCAGCACCATGGATCAGGTCTGTGAGCAACTGTGGAGCCGCAAGAACCATCAGCCCAAAAGAAAGCCACTGCTGCCCCCTCCACTTAGTGTCAAGGCCAAAAATCACAAGTGGAAGCATTTAGAAGAGAAGAAAAGGGCCCGCAGCCGTAGAACACATGAAGTTCCCCGTTCGGAAAGGGGTCCCCGGAGCACAGACTTCTGGTGACCTGCAAAGGCCACAGCTGGACAACATCTATGGCTAGGAGGGGCAGGGTGAGAGAGTGACTGAAAGGGGTAGAGTGACCAATCTGATTTGCAGGGAGATAACTTCCTTCCCCCCTGCCTTCATGTGTAGCTTGTAGAGGAAGTGCTGCTGTCATCATAGCCACTTAGCTGCTGCTCTTCTGAACTTGGCATGAAGAAACAGAACCTGATAAGACAAAGAGTTCTGCACCCCTGCCTGTTCCATAATGCACAACCAAAGATGGAGACACTGGCCTCCAAAGGCCAAATGAAACAAAGGCCATCTCCTGGGTGCCCTGTGCAGTGGAAATTAATGTTGGCAGGAATTGTGGTTCATTTCCATTCACTGACTGCCCAGAATTTTGTTTTTAATCCAGCCTCCAACTCTGGAACTTTTAGTGGTGCTCTGACATTTTCCAGTGGCAAGACAGCCCCGTGGAGCACCTTGCAAAGGGAGCTGAATCCCATGCTCAGAACTCTTCCTCAAATAGCAGGCTGTTTGCCCCCTTTCGTCTTCCTCCCATAACGTCTCCCCCAGTCCACTTACCTTGTGTGCATATGTGTAGCAATGGGCGTCCCACCCCCAGAGACACAACAGAACCACTGATATATTTATTAACAGATTGTTTACTGATGAATGTAAACCCACCACACAGTGATCCACTAGGATTTTGCTTCTGACTGAAGGAATGGGGCTGTTGTTGCCCAAAGGACTATGGGTACATTACTGGGCATGTATCTTCAATATGTGGCAGATGGAGATGAAGATGATGATGAAAGAAGGAAAGAAGGAAATGGACAAGGGACTAAACAGTACAGACTGCTCTCACTTTCCCCTTCTCTCGCGCGATCTCCCTCCCTCCCTCCCTCTCTCTCTCTGACACACAGATTTATGTTGTGTTTAGCCAGAGTGTTTCTCAGAGAGCAAACTAGGAAGAGAAAAATCCCTACTATGAGAAAACTTTTAGGACTCGATCCAACTGTGGGGCGGAGACCCAATGCTGTCAACCTCCCAAGCTTTTCCTTTGTTCTGGTGCCCCTAAACAAGCCTGTTGTCTCAGGCATAGTGGGAAATAGTATCACATCCCATGTTCAAGGAAGGATCAGCTAGCCATTCATTCAATCCATTTTTATCCTTCACTTTAGAAAGCAAAATATCATTGCAGGTAAATGTTCTATATACCCTTTCCAATTTGGCAGGCACAGACCCAATGAATCCTTTGCCCATCCACTTTTTCAGCTGTTTTTAAAATGTCCAGGTTTCTCAGTTTTCTTTCTTCCTGCTTTCTCATTATCCTCAGCTTACTTCATTTGCTACCAACTGAGCTCAGAGTGCAAAAATTGTTTGTACACAATTCAACAGGGGAAGGAGATGGTGGATCTGAGAGTTGGCTTAGACAAAAGCAAACTTCTGCAGCCTCTTCCCAGTTGTATGTCTTGACCATACTCTGATATTGCTTTGCAACACATGGCCCAGTTTTCATCTGTAAAATGGCATTAGATTGTCCTGGGATTTAGGAAGTACTTCTCTGCAGCGAATGTGTTTTTCTTATTTATGGTATACAAGCAGTGCTTGCGGGGTACAATACATTATGGAAGGATAGAGTTGGAACTCGTTGGTCTGGTTGAAAGTGAGCGGAATCCAGTCTTTGGGAATAGAATGGAACAAATAGCTGTTCATAATGTGCATTCAATATGCAAGTCAGAAAAATATGCCTTCTTTAGGGCCCTCTGGCACTAAGCACCCTGCTCAACCCTTGACCTTCTTGCATGCAGGCTCCCCTCAATTCTCCTGTTGGTGAGAAAAGTCTGAGACGATCAGACCATTTGGAGCCTCAATGAATCCTGACACTGTATTATTTTTCTTTTAAAATACCGAATCATTATTTGCCTTTCACTTCCCTTTAGCTCTAGGGTAGTCTTTGCTGCTGTGACTTCAGGATTTTAAAGTCAGGTTCTGAATACTGAAATACTCTATGAATGCACTCTGCTCCCACTATGATTTTTCTTTTCTCCTTGGGGGCAAGCTATGACTTAAGAAGGAACAATTATACTATACATGCACTACTCTTTCAGGACATACATCTAAAATCATTAGGTTCCTTTGCAGCACTGTAAGCCAGTAGCAGCTCACGACCTCTTGTGTCAGCAAGGAGATGAACCCAGTCTGCATCGGAAAATGCTGTCCAAGGTAGTGGACCTGTTCTGAGGACAGGGGTCACTTCTTTAAAGCTCAAGATAAAGCCTGGAGTTCATTTAGCAAGCTACTGACATGGAAGCTACCAGCTGGCACCAACTTAGGGCTCTATGGGAGTCATGTGTAGAGACACATGGTAAAAAGAAACAGTAAGCACATGATTCCAGATCTATAGCTTACCATGACTTTTAGACCTTATGACCGAAGTTTAGGAATACTGCTGGCTATTGAGAGGGGAAGATGAGTTAAAGAATAAGGAAAAACAGTGCTCTGGGAAAGATACATTTCTAGTACTTCTGTCACCTTGTTATTATTATTATTTATTATTTACTGCATTTATTGACCGCCGCTCTCAGCCCTAGGGCGACTCGCGGCGGTGCACAACATATAAAAACAGTTTACAAAAGGGCAAAACAGGAAATCAATACAACAATAATACACTATAATCTAAGTTACACTAAATAATCCGCTCCGTCACAGCATAGAATCATAGAATATGTTGACTGCCATAGCTGGACCAATGCCTGAAGGAGACAAGGAGAGACAGATCTCTTGGTTCCCATTGCCAGAATGGCAGCAATAGCCTCAAATAGCAAGCATGTAAGTAGTTTGGAAGGGCTTGGGAGGCTCAACCATGATGCATTCTTCAGAAGAATCAGACTTCCTTACACCCTTAGATGCACAACTATGGCCACAACTGTTGGTTTTTGCTGGTCTCATCCCTGCTTGTGCCAGCAGTAACACAATCTTTTTGCTAGTGCCTCCCCACACAGTGCCTTTCCCCTGGATGCTAAAGGCAGTGAGAACCTGCAAGGCATAGCTGTACCCCCCACAAATACGATGGGTAGGGATGCCCAGCCACTATTCAGCTGCCCTTGCAGACCTAGGAATTAAGAAGCAGGCTTTGTCTCTACAAAAGAGGAGGGTGCAGTTCCTTTGCCAAATAGACTTGATGCTTTCCCATAAAAATGGTATAGAAGTACTTCATTTACTGGATTGATTTGCCAAGATAATAATGAAGTTAGTTCTAGCAAATACCAAATAACTGCATCTGCGCATGGGAACAGCTTTCTAATGGCTCCAAATGATGTTGGCCATGTATTTCAGATATTCTCCACCGCAGGGCAGTATTCACCTTGTGACTGCTGCTACATCTTCCTGGGAACAATCCAAGCATTCCCTACAGAGAACCAATATGAGAGAGAAAATTGTGATTCCTCTCCCCAAAAGGATCACAATCTTCCCCTCATTTTCTTGAATGGAGAAGCACTGGCTGTCCCATGAGTTAGTTCTTCCGCAGAATATAGTTTGATTTGCACTTCCTAAGGGTTTCAAGGAGAGGACTTTGTGAAACGAGGTGGTAGTGGCTATGTTTGCAACCAGCCTCTTAGGTTTGCTACATGTACTGTGTATGGCAGTTGTGGAGAATAGAGGTATGTACAATTTAGACTTTTCCTTCCTGTAAGGAATTAGAAGGGGGAAGGCCAATTGTGTTTCAAGAAGAATACTCTAAGCTATGTGTACATGTACTTTTTACAGCTAGGATGGCTCACATTTCTTTGTGTATCTGTCCAGCAGCCTTACCCAACTTGGTGTCCTCGAGATATGTTGGCCTACAATGTCCATGACAGCATAGCTCATGGTGACAGGAATGATGGAAGTTGTAATCCCAAAACATCAAATGGATGCCACATTGAGCAAGGCTGCTGTGTCACTTCAAAGATTTGTAGAAGAAGCTTAATTGAGCCAATAGAGGACAAATATCTATTGTTGCTTCTAACAATAGATATTTCCGTTATTTCAAAAGATGCACAAACACATGTACAACAAACCAAAACAATCTGAATGTAATTGTTATCAAGCAGTTCCTATGTGTTGTTTTCAAAGGCTCCATCCTCTTCTCTTATTCCCACTTGCTCAGGAAGAATATTTCCAATACAGCACTTTGGGATTCTAGCATTTTTGACAACCAAGTTTTTCATATTGAAAAGTAACAGATGTGGAAGCTGGCTTTGGAGATGCCCCACTACTACTTTATAAATCTCATCTGTGCCAATGGCAAACTCTAAAGGAAAAAGGAATGAAGGTCAGGAGAATATTAAAATTGAAAGAAGTTGTAAGAAAGATGTAAGAAAGGTGAGATGGAATTGTGGGTAAATCAAGATGGGCCTCTTAGTCACAGAATGTGCCAATTTTAATGTGGTGGGTATGTATTAACACAATAAAGCAGTCATTTAATGCTGTGTGTTTGTTTTCTATGAGCAGGAATCTCACACAAAAAAGAACCACACACATGCCAGGTGCTGCCTCCAAAATGGTCATTCTTACCATAGAAACTGAATGGTTTTCATGGAATTAGATCATGTTCTGTATTCATAGTTCCAATGGGCAGGGCCGTAGCCAGAAAATAAATTCGGGGAGGGTTGACAATTTCGGGGAGGGGGATTGAAAATTTCGGGGGGTGGGTTGAAAATTTTGGGGAGGGTTGAAAATTTCGGGGGGGGGGGGGGGGGGGGGGGGGGTTGAAACCTGCCTCCTAGCTCACGCTGAAGCAATGAGCACAGCAGAAGGCAGAACAACCTTCAATAGCCTGCAGCTCCACCCCTGTCAACCACCTCCACCAAGTCTGGCCTCCTTAATGAGACCATTCAACACACACACACACAACTTGGTTGCTTCACTACATTGGCTATTGCTGCAAGTAATGACAGTGTGAATAAATTGTCAATATTTGCGTGAGATAGTGCTTACAGTTCTGGAGGGACTCTTAATTTTTTTGCATCTCATAGACTTAGCATGGGGATTTGGTTAACCAGTTAAAATTCATGAGTAAACCAGGTTTTTTTAAAAAAATCTGAAACATTTCGGGGGAGGTTGAACCCCTAAAACCACCCCCTCGCTACAGGCCTGCCAATGGGTGACCTTGGGCAAGTCACATCCTCTCAGCCTCAAAGAGAAGGCAAATCCCCTGTGAACAAACCTTGGCTAGAAAACTGATTCGGTTTACCTCAGGGTTGGCATAAGTCAGACTTTAATGCACATGGTGATGACAGCTGAAATTGAATTATGGATATGCTATGAACAAAGATACGAGTCGCCAGAGCAAATCAATTTGTAAGATGAAGAAACTGAAGCAGCTCTACCTAGTACATAGATGAGGGCATGGCTCATTAAGAATGCTATAGAAAAAGAGAGACCACACTACAGATGGACTGAATCAAGAAGCCAGTGTCCTGAGCTCCCAAGACTTGAGCAAGGCCTTTGCAGACCAGGGCTCTTGGAGGCCTCTCAATCAAAAGTGTGCCACAAATAAAGTCAACTTCAGGACAAGTGGCATCCAATAAGCAGAAGCTTGGTCCAGATTGCACCACCTTGTGAGGATAAAAGGATGTCCCTCTTTATATATATATAAAAAGTCATGGGTGACAATGAAGGAGTGTTCTATGCTTCCTCTCTTAGCTGCCATTCAAGGAAGTGGGATGACAGGGGTCATCGTTCCATACAAACCAATCTGTTCACGGCCAAGAAGAACCTCAAAATTGAAGTATTTTCTCGTGGCTGCCTCTTGGAGGTAACCTTGAACGCTGCTTGATCTGCTCTTTTCCTGTTGAGTTCTTCTGCACCGGCCTTTGTGCCAAAAACCTGTCCTTCGGCATTCCTTGTCAGCTGTCCTTTAACTTTCGTTTCTAACTTTAAGTTTCATTTCTTGCCAAACTGGCAGGATGCCTTTTGAGGTCTAGACATTTTTAAAGGTGGACTTCAAAATTCCTTGAACAGCAGACCCTGAATTTCAGAAACCAAGATACCCAATTTAATATTTTTTTACATGCTTTCATTTTAGGGTTCTAAAACTTTTTTAAAAATAATAGCGACATTTCTAATGATGATTCTGTCATTTTTAAAAAGCTTTTTCAGATGGAGACCACAGGCTTTGACAGACTAACATCAACATTAGTCCTGCCTATACAGCAGAGGTGTTATTTATTTATTGTGTCAGAAGCAAGTTGAGGGTACAGTTAAAATGTATTTAAAACACATTTTAAATGCATTAGAGACATGGAAGAAGCCTCCCCGCAGGATCCTAACACATCCGGGCGTTCTCTGGGCAACGTCTTTGTAGATGGCTGATTCTCTCACACCAGAAGTGGATTGCAGCATGCAACCAAACAAACAAGCAGAAGTGTCAAAATCATTGGAATCAAATAGTCTCTTTGTTTCAAAGGGCCTACTTGAAATCAGACAAGTGTTGAACGTATCCTCCCTATAGATATTATACACAATATGTCACTCCTTTCTCATGAAATCTTTGATACTGGACATCTGGTAAATGTTCAAAAAATATACAAGTCTCCACAAAAATTTCACATTTTGCAATAGTGTTTCCATCCCATTTGCTATCATTGAATCGCTCTACAATGCCAGATTAAGGTAGTTAGACACCGCTTTTAACTGCCATGGCTCACTGCTATGGAATCATGGGGGATGTAGGTTTACAAGACCTTTAGCCTTCTCTACCATATATTGTTGGCACCTCACCAAACTACAACTCCCATGATTCCATAGGCTTGAGCTGTGTCAGTTAAAGTGGTGTCAAACTGCAATAACTCTACAGCAGTATTTGTCAACCTTCCTATTGCTGTGACCCCTTAATACAATTCCTCATGTTGTGGTGACCCCCAATGATAACATTATTTTTGTTGCTACTTCATAACTCTAATTTTGCCACTGTTATGAATCATAATGTAAATGTCTGATATGCAGGATGTATTTTCATTCACTGGACCAAATTTGGCACAAATACCACATACACCCAAATTTGAATACTGGTGGAGTTGTGGGTGGGGGGAAGTTGATTTTGTCATTTGGAGTTGTAGTTGCTGGAATTTATAGTTAAGCTACAATCAAAGAGCATGCTGAACTCCTCCAACAATGGAATTGGGCTAAATTTGGCACACAGAACTGCCATGACCAACAGAAAATACTGGAAGTGTTTGGTGGGTATTGACCTTGAGTTTTGGAGTTGTATTCACCTACCTCCAGAGAGCACTGGACTCAAACAATGATGGATCTGGAACAAATTGGGAACGAATACTCAATATACCCAAATGCGAACACTGGTGGAGTTTGGGGAAAACAGACCTTGACATTTGGGAGTTGTAATTGCTAAGATTTATAGTTAACCTACAATCAAAGAGCACTGAACCCAGCCCACAATGGATCTGCACCAAACTTGGCATACTACCTACATCGCCAACATTGAATACTGGTGGGATTGGTGGGGGGTTGTTTTTGAATTCTGGGAGTTGTATTTCACCAACAACAAAAGGAAGAGAAGGACAAGCAGAGAGATCGTTAGCCTTCCCTGTCAATAGGGTTCCTAAGACCATAAGAAATATGTGTTTTCTGATGGTCTTTGGCAACCCCTCTGAAACTCCCCTCGCAACCCCCCCCCCCCAACGGGGTCTCGGCACCCAGGTTGAGAAACACTGCTCTACAGCAACTCAGATAAAACTGTTGTCAAGACCTCAAAACCACTACCATAAAATGTGGTGTAAATTCTACAGAGACTCAGAAATTGATTCATAAATAATCTCAAATCCACACAATGGTCATAGTCATAAAGGTGGATTTGGGATTTTGTTGGATGTTGATACATACCAAAACAGCTACCCTGAACATGGAAAATCCTTAACGTAGTATTTGCCTAATAAATGTCCTTCAATGCCATATCAAATCCACCTTAATGGCTTAGGTGTGACATCAGTGATGGGTGTGCCAATAAAAAGGGCAAAGCAGGGAGGAAACTTGGCACAGCAGCAGCAGCCAGAGAGAAATGATGGACTTGTGGCAGTGCCAAGCAGAACTGGTGGAGCTGTACCAAACCCCCTCCCACAAACTCAATTCCTATATTACGGAACACCTCTTGCCCAATGAGGTCTTCCGCAGAAATGTCCAAGATGCTGTTGATAGAATCTGTTCTTTCCTGAAGGAGAAATGCTCCATGAAAGCCAGGGTCATCAAGACCGTCAAGGTAAGCCTGCTCTCCTCTCTAGGACCTGATCTCTTTTTACTGAATGCCTCTTATCAGAAAAAGCACCAATGGGTTCTGATGATAAGCATCAGGGAGGCATCCCTCTTTTCCATTCCATCCTCCTGGCTTTAATAGTCAGTCTCGGGGCTCTAACTCACTATACTTTGCTTTCCTCTTTCTGCATCAAAAAAGCATCATAGGTGACAATAGCATTTGGATTTTGACACCACCTCTGCTAAAGTAGAATCAGAGAGTTGGAAGATACAACATGAGATAACCAGGGGTTAGGCTGGATGTAGGAAAAGTACAATGAACACATGCACATGTGTGCATATACACACACCCAGAGATGGCTACCCAGCCTCTCTATAAAAGCCTCCAAGGCAGTAGCCTCTAACACACTCCCAAGGCAGAGAGTTCCACTGCTGAATATCTGTTCTGGGGTCAGGAAATTCTTCCTAATGTTCAGGTGGAATCTTCTTTTTGTAATTTAAGCCCATTGCTCTGAGTCCTATTAAGTCTCAAGGGCAACAGAAAACAAACCTACTCCCCATTCCTAATGACATATTTTCAAATATTTAAGCATGGTGATTATGTCTCTGCTCATCCTTCTCTTCTGCAGGCTAAACAAACAGCTCTTTAAGCCACTCCTCATAGGACATGGTCTCCAGACTGTTGAGCATTTTAGTTGCCCTCCTCTGGACACTTCCAACTTGTCAATTGTGGTACCCAGAATTAGTGCCTTGAATTGTGGTGCCCAGAATTGTGCACAGTATTATTCTAGGTGAAATCTGATCAAAGCAAAATAGAGGGGCATCTCTGATCTAACACTATACTGCTTTTGATGCAGCCCAAAATCTACACCATAAAATTAATTCAGTTTGACACCACTTTAATTGTCATTGGCAATGATATGCAATCCTGCGAGTTGCACTTTGGTGAGGCACCAGCACACTTGGACAGAGACGAGTATAGATTTTGTAAATAGCCAACTCCTATGATTCTGTATAGCATTCAGCATTATAATAATATCATCAGCATCATCATCATCAAACTGCATTATTTCTACAGTATAGTTGCACCCCTAGTTGTAACCCGAATAGATGAGAAGATGGGGATTGTCATCCCATACAAACTAGAAAGTTTGGGCTGCGTAAGTCTGTTTCTTTTCTAGCAGCATCTGACCAGGAAGCCTTTCCCCGTCCCTGCCTCTTGGGATTCTTTGTGAACACAAGAACATGGGGGAGACGGACTTGAATCCAGGACTACCTAGTTGGCTGTTGAGCTCTGCTTCTACAGACACCCTGGAGTAAAATGACCTGCCCTTTGTGACTCCCGCCTATGCATTTGGCCTCTGGCACTCCTCAAAGAAAAAAAAAACTTTCTTTAGGTTTCCTTTCCAACTTTCTGCAGAATCGAAACTGCCGAGCTAGAGGGAGACCTTTTGCCAAGTCTCACATTCTTTAAGGTGGACTTTGAAAGAAAGCTCAAAGTTCAGAAGTCAAAATACCCAATGAAGCGAAACTTAATCTTATTGTTTAAATGCTTTGATTTGAGAATTCCTAGACAATATGTTATAATAGTGACATTTCTAATTATGATATTTTCTTTTTGCCAATTTTCTTCTGACAAAGAGGCCACAAGTTTTGATGTTCAGGATGCCAAACTGTTTTCAAATATTATTTGAAAACAATCTGGGACAACAGAAACGTCATTTCAAAATGCCCTACATTCTAGGAGAAAGAAAGAAAAGTGGTTTGCATGGCGGACACATGGAATGGGTCTCTAAATCTCCATCCAAGGCTACCAGAAATCAAATGCCTTTATCCATAGGGCCCTTCTTGGCTGTAGAGCTAGAATACGAGTTGTTATGTGCTTTCAAATTTGAGTTATGGTAGCCCTAAAGCAAACTTATCAAAGAGTTTTCTGAGTCTAAGAATGTAAAAGGTCTTAACCTTGACTGGATTTCCAAGGATGTCAGACAAGGACAAAGCTTTTATCCTAGAGCTGTAGTTATGGTTTTGCACTGATGTGGCATTGGGGGCAATGCAGTAGTGGTTGGGGTGTAGAGGAATTGGTGTCTTATTTTGTGTTGTGAGCTGGGGAAGGCATTTAATTTCGTTGTGAAATAATACAATGAAAATAAAGTATTGTCGAAGGCTTTCATGGCCAGAATCACTGGGTTGCTGTGAGTTTTCTGAATTGTATGGCCATGTTCCAGAAGCATTCTCTCCTGATGTTTCACCCACATCTATGGCAGGCATCCTCAGAGGTTGTGAGCTCTGTTAGAAACAAGGTGTAATGACTCTTACCTAATAGGCCAGAGTAGAAGCCTGGGAAGACAGTAGGGCAAACCTCCATTTTGAGAGTGTCTGCCAGTAAAGCAGCCATCTTGAAGGAGAATAGATTGGAGATGGGAGGAGTTTGAGGTCTCCTGGAATTGGCTAGAGCAGAGGAGGAGGAGCCAAGTCTTGAGGAGGGAAAAGATTTCAACTTCTGAGAAAAAAAAGAGATTTGGGAACTGAAGGAAGAAGAAGTGATTTTGAGACTGGGTATTTCTGAGAGTGTGTGTGTGTATGTCAGGCAGGGCTGATTAGTTGACAAGAAAGGTCAAACAGCATCCTAATTACTTGTGTGAGACAGCACAAGGGATTTGCTCTCTAGTTTGAGTAAGTTAGCTGTAAGAACTCTGGTGAGAGTTAGCTAATTGTTCGGAAGACAGCCTGGGTTAGGTTAGTCAAGAACTCATTGATATTTCTCTGAAGTAGAGTGAGGGATTTTTTGTAACTAGTAGCTATATCTGTGAGATTAGCTTTGTTTGTAACCAAGTCAAGAAACTCTTTTTAAGCAACCATTAAGATATTGTGCTATAGTAACAAGTCAAGCGTTTGTGCCTCTCAAAAGAAGAAGTCAGTTGTCTGTTTGTTTGTTTTATAAATAAACCTTTTTTCTGTTTGACTTTTAAGAAGCCTCTATTGTTACTTATTCTATCAATAGTCCTGGGATAAAATTTGCCAGGCAGTTTAACATCCTGATACCACAGAAAGGTCTCTTATCCAACAGTCATTCTTGAGAGCTAAGGGTAGTTAGGGCAGAAGAGGGAAAAAATTACCTCAGAGCAGCATTTAAAAATCCCAAGACAGCTTGTGTTGATGGCAGCAGATAAGTATAGGACAAGTACTTTACACTCTACCATTACATATAATATATAACACCATATCGCTACCATACTAGTGTCCAGTGGTGTGATATTACATATGATCCTTTATATTGGTGTCCAGCGGTGCGATATACATTGATATTTAGTGTTAGATTAATAAGGGGGATTCCTCTTTTTGTTATACAAGGCAAATAAGGTTTATATATCCGTGGAATGTCCAGGGTGGGAAAAATAATTCTTGTCTGCTTGAAGCAAGTGTGATTGTTGCAATTGGCCACCTTATTTATTATTATTTATTTAAAAGTTTTCTATACCGGTCTTCTCACCCCGAACGAGGGACTCAGGCCGGTTCACAACATGTGTTCAAATACAATAATATACAAAAACAACACAGTGCATCATCATTACAGATTAAAATATAAGTACAATAAAACACCTAGATTAGCATTGAATGGCCTTGAAGATTAAAAGTCTGGCTGATTCCTGCCTGGAGAAATCCTTTGTTATTTATTTATTTATTTATTTATTTACTCCTTTTGTATACCGCAAATATCAGCCAACGGCGACTCTAAGCGGTTTACAGTAAAATGTGCAACATTGAACAATATATATGACAAACAACCACAAACAATACACAAAACGTCATCACGCCTCGAATAGAATCAGATCCAAATCTCATAGTCGTTTTACCATTCCTTGTTCAGTATGCCGTCTTCTGAGTCAGATGTTATTGCATGCTTATCCGAACGCCTGTTCGAAGAGCCACGTCTTAACCCGCCTCCTAAACGCCAATAGCGAGGGGGCCTGCCTGATCTCCACTGGTAGGGCATTCCATAGCCGAGGGGCCACCACCGAGAAGGCCCTGTCCCTCGTCCCCGCCAGCCGCACTTGTGATGCTGGCGGGACCGAGAGCAGGGCCTCCCCGGACGATCTTAGCATCCTCGCCGGTTCGTAGGAGGAGATGCGTTCGGAGAGGTAAGTGGGGCCGGAACCGTGTAGGGCTTTATAGGCTAAAGCCAGCACCTTGAATTGTGCTCGGTAGCAAATTGGCAGCCAGTGGAGCTGGCTCAACAGTGGAGTGGTGTGCTCCCTGAGTGCCGCTCCCGTTAACAACCTGGCTGCCGAGCGCTGGACCATCTGAAGCTTCCGGGCAGTCTTCAAGGGCAACCCCACGTAGAGCGCGTTGCAGTAATCTATGCGGGATGTGACAAGAGCATGGACTACCGTGGCCAAGTCCGACTTCCCAAGATACGGGCGCAGCTGGCGCACGAGCCGAAGCTGTGCAAATGCTCCTCTGGAGACCGCTGAAACTTGGGGTTCCAAGCTTAGCGAAGAATCCAGAGTCACACCCAAGCTGCGAACCTGTGTCTTCAGGGGGAGTGCGACCCCGTCCAACACAGGCTGTAACCCTATACCCTGTTCGGCCTTCCGACTGACCAGGAGTACCTCTGTCTTGTCTGGATTGAGTTTCAATTTGTTAGCCCTCATCCAGTCCGATACAGCGGCCAAGCACCGGTTCAGGACCTGAACAGCCTCCTTAGTAGTGGGTGGAAAGGAGTGACAGAGTTGGACGTCATCTGCGTACAGATAACACCGCACCCCGAAACTCCGGATGATCTCTCCCAACGGCTTCATGTAGATGTTGAACAACATGGGGGACAGTATTGAACCCTGCGGGACCCCACACGTCAATGGTTGTGAGGACGAGCAGGTGTCCCCCAGTAACACCTTCTGGGTGCGGTCCTCTAGGAAGGACCTGAGCCACTGTAGAACAGTGCCCCCCAGGCCCATTCCCACAAGGCGCCCCAGAAGGATACCGTGGTCGACGGTATCGAAGGCCGCTGAGAGATCCAGCAGAACCAACAGAGACACACTCCCCCTGTCGAGCTCACGCCGGAGATCATCGACCAAGGCGACCAAGGCTGTCTCGGTACCATGCCCCGGCCTAAAGCCAGACTGCGCCGGATCCAGATAATCAGTGTCTACCAAGAATGCTTGGAGTTGTGAGGCCACCACACGTTCCAGGACTTTGCCCAAGAAGGGAAGATTGGAAACAGGCCGATAGTTGACGAATTGAGTGGGTCCAGTGATGGTTTTTCAACAGCGGTTTTATAACAGCTTGTTTTAAGCTGGCTGGAATTTTGCCTTCCCGAAGGGAGGCATTAACCACCACCTTTACCCACTCGGCCAATCCCCCTCTGGCCTCCTTTAGAAGCCAGGATGGGCAGGGGTCTAGGATGCATGTGGTTGCTCATCCCTCCAAGCACCTTGTCCACATCCTCAGGTGTCACAGATTGAAACGAATCCAACAAACTCGGACAGACAGGTGTTCTCGTCACATCCTCAGAGACTGCCGTTAACATGGTGTCTAGACCTGAACGGATCAAAGCGACTTTGTCCGCAAAGAACCGAGCAAATGCTTCACAGCGGGCCGTCGAGTTGTCAGGGCTCCCATCCGGGATGGTGGGTTTTAATAGGCCTCTGACAACTCGAAACAGCTCCGCCGGACGGTTCTTTGCGGACGCAATATTGGCCGCAAAGAAAGATTTCTTTGCTGCCTTTATTGCCACGGCATATGCCCTTAGTAGGGCAACAAACCGTGCTCGGTTTAACTCGCTCGGGTCCGAATGCCACACACGCTCTAGTCTCCTCTTCTTTCGCTTCATTGCTGCCAGCTCCTCGGTGAACCAAGGAGCTGGTTTAGCTCGGCTACTTGAGAGGGGACGTTCCGGAGCGATCGTGTCTATAGCCCTGGTCATCTCCCTATTCCAGAGAGTCACCAAGGCCTCAACAGGATCACCAACCGAGGCGGCAGGAAACTGGCCCTGATAGTTTCATGTCAGGAATTCCCTTGATTTTTTAGTGTTGCTCTTTATTTACTGTCCTGATTTTAGAATTTTGTTTTATACTGGTTGCCAGATTTTGTTCATTTTCATGGTTTCCTCCTTTCTGTTGAAATTGCCTACATGCTTGTGGATTTCAGTGGCTTCTCTGTGTATGAGTGCTTCTGGAACATGGCCATGCAGCCTGGAAAACTCATAGCAACCCAATGACAATAAAGCTATTCTATTCTATATATTGAGCAGGGATCTGAACCTTGATCTCCAGAGTTCAATACTCAAACCAGGATATAATCTTAAAGTATCCCTAATACTTTCTGGAGGAATAATGGAGTACCTCTGTTCTATGAGTTATGTCATGTCTCCCATGTATTTTGACATGTAGGTACAACCACTGGCCAGAGAAATCTGTAGGTATGTATGCCAACTGTATGGAGCTAATTCGAACCTTTCTAGCTTTTGTTTCCATTAGCTAGTACCATGAGGGCCATGGAAAAGGATGTCTGGAGGTGGTTTAATAATAGATGAATGCAGTGGACCCAAGTAAAATAGATGGGTCTGTGAATAGGAAAGTCTGCTGATTCAGATACAGCTGTCAGGGCAATGTTGGTTGTGATGATGCCCCCTAAAGAAGCAAGTGTGTAGTCTAGGGTTTTCCCTGGACTTGATTGCGTTGAAGTGGTGGTGCATAGTATATGCATTAGAATTATGTCGATCCATTTCAGAAGCAACATATGAAATTGGGACTTCCCTTATAATGAGATAAGAAAGAAGGGAGTTGAGGACCTAATTACCAGCTAATTCCATTTACCAAAGAAAGTTGTGAAGACTTAAGAGCAAAAGAGAAAAGGTGGGAGAGGGTATGACTCTTCTTTCAGTCAGCAGACCTTAGTCTAGACCAGGGATCCTCAAACTAAGGGCCAGGGGACGGATACGGCCCTCCAAGGTCATTTACCCAGCCCTCGCTCAGGGTCAACCTAAGTCTGAAATGACTTGAAAGCACACAACAACAACAACAACAACAACAACAATCCTATCTCATCAGGCAAAAGCAGGCCCACACTTCCCATTGAAATACTAATAAGTTTATATTTGTTAAAATTGTTCTTCATTTTAATTATTGTATTGTTTTAAGTGTTTTGCACTACAAATAAGATATGTACAGTGTATAGGCATTCATTCGTGTTTTTTTCCAAATCATAATCTGGCCCTCCAATAGTTGGAACGACTGTGACCAGACCCTCTGTTTAAAAAGTTTGTGGACCCCTGGTCTAGACTGTGAACCACTTCCTTACTGAGGGTAATGTCCTTGCATCAACCTAATGCTGGGTAAAACACAGGCACAACTTCAGTGAGTCCAGGGATCTCCTTACCATACAGACTGCCCAAAACACCACCCAGACCACCACCAGCTCATCTCTGGAAGTGGCCAGTTTTGAAAAAGAGAGCCGTTAAAGTTAAATAGTACAGGACGGGCATGCAGGCAATCTATATTTTTTTCGTGTCAGGAGTGACTTGAGAAACACTTGAGCCCCCAGTGGGGCAATGTGTTAAACCCTTGTGCCAGCAGGACTAAAGATTGACAGGTTGGAGGTTGGAATCCAGAGACAGCTTAGTTGAGCTCCCTCTGTCAGCTCCAGTTCTCCATGCAGGGACATGAGAGAAGTCTTCTACAAAGATGATAAAACAGCAGAACATCTGGGTGTCCCCTAGGCAACGTCTTTGCAGACAGCTAATTCTCTCACACCAGAAGCAACTTGCAGTATTTCAAAAACAAATCAATAATTTCTGTTGTCATAATGAGAGCAATGTGGGAAAACCAAGCCCTGCTCTGCTTTGTTGGGGGGGGGGCATATACAGCCCTAGGATCATATTTTATGTGACCCTGCAATAACCACGTTTTTTTCTTCTTTACAGGGGGGCTCTGCAGGAAAAGGAACAACCTTGTATGAAAATTCAGATGTTGACCTGGTTATCTTCCTCGACTGCTTCGACAGCTACTCAGAACAGGCACAGACACGTGATTCTGTGATCAGAATTATTGAGCAGAATCTGGAACGTTGCCGCAGGAGTCTAGCTTTCCAAGTTGATATCCTACCACCACGGTCAAAAGGTGAACTACGGCGCTCACTCTCACTAACGATCCAGTCAAGAAGGAAAAACGAAGCTGTTGAGGTGGATGTTCTTCCAGCATTTGATGTTTTAGGTAAGAGACTTGATTGCTGTTGTAGATGCAATGAACATAAATCTTGTTTAGTTTGAGAAGCTAATCAAGATGGACCCTAGTTATTGCTCGAGGAAAGACTACAGGCAGCTCCAAGTTATGTACAAGATAGGTTCTGTAGGTTTGTTCTTAAGTTGAATTTGTTTGTAAGTTCAAACAGGTACATTTTTAAGTGTAACTCCACACACACGCACACAAACTTTGGATAGCATAGGGAAGGGTTAACACCTCTGTGGTGTTTATTTTTCTACCTATGCTCCTGTTCAGAAAATTTCACCTCACCTTCTATCCCCATGATAATTATTTTGAAAAAAATAGCTTTTTGTGGAAACAAGGATAGGTGAGAAAAAATCTTTAGGAGAGATTCTTCTCTCAGTTTCATCTCCATCTCAAGCTCAGTTGGTGGGAACGAGGGGGGCGGGCTTCTTTCTTGGTGGCTGCCACTCAACTCTTGAACTCCCTGCCCAGGGAAAGCAGAATGGCCCCTTCCCTGCAGTCCTTCGAGTGGCAGGCTAAACCTTTTTATTCAGGCAGGCTTTTAAAGAAGAAGGTTTTTAATATCAAGTCAGGGGCGGATGTGGTTTTTAGTTTTGAATATGTGTTTATAGATTTTAACTGAATTTTTTAACACCAATGAGATTTAATACTGTTTTAATGTTTATATATTTGTTGATTTTTAAATTATATGTAAGTGTTTTCAATGTAAGACACTTTGAGTCTCCTGGTAGAGAGAAAATGTGGGGTATAAATAAACATAATAATAATAACAACAACAACAACAATAATATGCATCAGAAACGTTTTCTGTGAAGATTGTGTGTTGGTTGTTGTGCACCAATCTCCACACATAAAACAAATTCACACACAAGCATCTTCCAAGAAAACCAAAACCAACAACAGTCCCATGGCGCTCCGTGAATGGCGATGGAGGAAGGACTGTGAAATCTGTAAACCTCTAGTTACAGACTAGTGGATATGGATTCATTGGTTCTAACTCAAGGTCCAGGGCAGTTGAGCAGCTGATAATGTAATCTGTGCTCCTTCAGAGAAAGACCTTCGCAGAAGCATATGAAAAGTTTGGCCTTTCACTTAACATTGAAAAAAAAACAACAAGGTAATCTCTCTAAAATGCCTGCAAAAATGCTAAAAATGTTGACCATTTCAGCCTTCTCTCCTCAAAAGTTGAAATTGACGCTGAAATACAACACTTTCAGAGCTCTGCATGCTCAGCACCTTTCTGAATAAAGCATAAAGCATTTGATGATTGGGGCATTCATAGGGATATCAAGATCCCTGCTCAGTTGTATGCCTGCAAAATATGGACTGTCTACAAATGTCAGTCTCAACTTCTGGAAAGATTCCATCCACATTGCCTTTGAAAAATCTTATAAATCTCTTGGGAAGAGAGGCTGACAACATCAGCCTTCTAGAAGAAGCAAAGGCCATTAACATTAAGACACTGATTCTCTACCATCAACTTCTCTGGATTGGCCACATTGTCCGAATATCCAATCACTGTCTCTCAAAGCAGTTATTTTATTCTCAATTTAAGAACACAAAACAAAATGTCAGTAGATAACAAAAGAGATTTAAAGAGGGGCTTAACGTTAACCTTTAAAAAGTGGTATAAACACCAAGAATCAGTAAGTTCTTGCACTCAAGTTTTGTAACTGGAAGTCAGCTGTTATGAATGGTGCTATGGATTTTGAAGAGACATGACTACAGGGCAAAGGGAAGACATGTGCCAAGAGGAAGACACATCAAGCAAACTCTTGTTGTGACTGCCTTCTAGCTGAAAATCTATGTCCCCAATGTGAAATACCATGTAGATTCAGACTAGGTCTTCACAGTCACTTACAGATCCACTACCAATACTCTACCTCTGGAAGACAATAATACTTGGCCATGAGTGATCACCTATGATGATAATATCATCAGGTTATGATCTCTGCCACAATCTGCTCCTGGTCTTGTTGAAGAAGGAAAACGAGCTTCTTCCTCTTTTGTTTCAATATATGCACTTGCCTTCTTGGTTTTCTCAACAAAATGTTTGTGATGAATATACTGCTGATCTTGCATTCATTTGCTATTCCATTTCTTGATCTAAAGTCAAATTTCCCTACATGTATTGATCCTGCTTTGCTTTTTTTTATTTTCCTAGGATTAGCAAGAGGTCCTGTTTTAATATATACTTAATTCCCTCATTAACTCCCACACAGAAAATTTAAAGTTCTCCTGCCTCTGACACTGGAGCATAATTAAGTCCTCTAGAGGGCATCTGCTCCAGAAGGCCAGAACCTGACTGGTAATCACTAGGCCTGGGTAACAACGGAAAAATTTGTTTCTAAAATCGATTTGTATTTGGGGGGTTTTTTTGTTTCGATATTTAAACTAATTACAAAATTTTCCTTTTAAAAAGTTCAATATTTACGAAATTTCATAAATGGTAAAAAATTAACGAATCAATTTCCGAAACAATAACGAATCGATTCGTTAATGGCGGACGCGACCGCGAAATACGCTAAAAAACCTCCAAAACCTTCTGAAGCTTCCCTCTCCCTCTGTTGTTGACTGTTGGTGTGATATTATAATTTTTTTTCACTAATTAAACCATAAAACTGGCCCAGACATACGGAAATAATAACGAAACGACCTCAAAACAATAACGAAACGAATACAATATCGAAATACGAAGCATTTACAAAACGTTTTTGAAAATTCGTTTTTTTTAATAATTGCTCCAGAATGGTTCATTATCGTTTTGTAATTGGAAAAATTAACGAATTATTAACGAATTACTAATTAACGAAACGAAACCGCCCAGCCCTAGTAATCACCACACAGAGGACCTTTTCACGGGCCACTCCAAGACTGTGGAATGACCTGTTGGAAGAGCTCCAATAGCTAAATTAACTGTCAGAATTTTAAAACCATCTAAAAGACCTATATCTTCTAGCCAGGCCTATCCAGACAGTTTTTAAGCATGAATTTTAAACTTCTGTCCTTTGTTTAATCTCTGGTTTGTGTATTTTAATATGTATTTTATAGAAATACATTTTATAGAAATACATATTTATTTGTGGTATTTTTACAATATGCATGTGTTTTAATTATTCTGTAACTTGACTCGAGGAGAAGTGGGTAAGAAATAATATAATAATAATAATAATAATAATAATAATAATAATAATAATAAACCTGGGAATATGTTATATTGATAGATTGTCCCTGAATTCTTACTGATGTTATTTGGTCAGATTTTGCACTATATCATGTGACTGCTTTTGCTTCATCTCTCTTCACTATTAATGCCAGCCCATCTGATTTCTTCTTAAGATTTTCAGTTCCTGAGTAAAACTGACTCAAATTGTCCTATTCCTGTCCAGTTTAGCCCACTTACCTCAATGTTTGTACATTTCATCCCTTGTTTTACTATGTTTAGCTCTCCTGATTCATGCTTCTCACATTCAGTGTGCTAATGTAGATTGTGCAAAGGTGACAGAATCACTTCTGCTTGGAAACTGCCTTTTTCTCCCTTTTTGTCCAGTCAAGAAGGCAGTTGATAAAATGTTTTTCTCTCCTCCCACCTGCTATTGCTAAGGCAAGTGATGAAATTTCTGCACATAATGTGGTTGGTTTATAGCAAATGTGGGGAACCTTTGACATCATAGGTGTTTTTTGGACCAGAACTCACCCCCCCCCCCCAAACCATTGGCAATCATGAGGTTGATGAGCCTTGAAGACCAGTGCAGATGGTGGGTCAGAGGTTCCTCAATTCTGGTTTAGAGTATAGCATACATAATACAGTTTTATGATAACCCACTTTGATTTTTTTTTTACTCCAGGACAAATAACTGATACATACAAACCACCTCCTAGAGTCTACATAGATCTCATTTGTGCTGGTGGAAAACCTGGTGAGTTCAATACTTCCTTCACAGAGCTGCAGAGGAATTTCATAAAGCGCTGCCCAGCCAAATGCAAGGACCTCTTGCGTCTAGTCAAGCAATGGTACAAGGTTTACAAGAAGGTGAGCTGTCCCTCTTTCTGGATTATAGTAAATATGATAGTCCCTCTTCTGGATTATAGTAAATATGATTCTCCAGTCTATTCTTCAGTCTCTGACTTTTTGTCTTCTTCCGTGTCAATGAAAGAATATGAATTTCATATCAGTAAGTGATGAAACAGCTATGAATTTTAAATTGAATTTAACAAGTGCTTTCCAAGTGCTGAACCTATTTGCAAAGTCAGGGGTCAGTGCTAGGAATATCTTATTTAAAGTCTGAAGTAACACATGGTCCAGATTCACATCTCTGACTAATATGAAGGCTGCTGGCCCTTACTTTTTCCTGCCCACAAGATTTGCTACCATTTGACCACTTAAACTTACCATCCCAACCAGTTCCCAACCAGTTCCACACTGGTCCTTTCTCTTTTCTTATCCACAGAAGAAAACTTTGGATGTAAGTGTACTTCTTCCATCTTTAATCCATGTAAAAATGTATCTGTGCCTCAAGATCATCAGAGATCCTATTTGTTCCAGTTAAGGGATATAGAGCCCTTCCAGACAGGTCCTATATCCTATGATCTGATCCCAGGTTTTCTGCATTAAACTGGATTATCTGAGTTCACACTGCTGGATAATCTGGGATAAACAGAAAACCTGGGATCAGGTCCTGAGAAATATGGCCTGTCTGGAAGAGCCCATAGATAATTTAAAGAGAGAGTGTGTCTTTCTCCCCCTCCTGGCACCTCAGTTGTGGAATTGACAATGCCATCTTTTGAGCTAAAAAAAAAAAACATAATCCCAAAATTTCAAGTTAGATATGTCCTTCATTTGATTATAAGATGGGTTTCAGTTATTCATTATCTATCTATATCTATCTATCTATCATCTATCTATCTATCTATCTATCTATCTATCTTTCTCCCATTTTTTCCCATGGGTGGGATTCAAAACGGCATACAATGGATAAAAACAACATAATTACATAACATAAAATGCAACAAAAATCATATAAGCAAATATGCAGAGATATACACTGTATAAGGCAAATTTGACAAATTAAGAAATTAACACATTATACCATTATACCCTTAAAAGATCCCTGACCTACAAGTCATTAAGGATAGTCATTAAAAGAGTTATTTTAGGTTCCTAAAATTCAATTTCTTTTCGGCCATATTAAAGTATTGCCAGTCTGAAATAACATTTCAAAAATATATCTATCTGGCCATTGCTTATTGTTGATCTTCAGGGATGGTCTGGTTCCATAAAAAGGTTTTAAGTTGACAGTGAAAGGCCAACAAGGAGGGAGCCAATTGCACTTCTCTAAGAAGGGAGTTCGAGAGCCATGGGGCCACCACTGAAAAGGCCCTCTCTCTCGTTCCCACCAGCCACACTTATGACGGTGGTGGGACCGAGAGAAGATCCTCTCCTGATGATCTCAGAGCTCGTGCTGGCACATAGGAGGAGATGCAGGTGGGCATGAACCATTTAGGGCTTTGTAGACTAAAGCCAGCACCTTGAATTGCACCCGGAAACAAACTGGGAGCCAGTGTAGCTGCTTCAGGAGCAGAGTAGATCTTTCCCTGTATCCTGCCCTCATAAGCAGTCCATCTGCTGGCCTTTGTACTGCTCTTCTGGGACAGCCCCACATAGAGCATGTTACAGCAATCCAATCTGGATGCCACTAAGGCGTGTACTACCATGGCCAGATTGTGCTTTTCAAGATTGTTTTATATAACACTAGCTGTCCCCTGCCACGCGTTGCTGTGGCTCAGTCTGGTGATCTGGAAAATAAAGTAATGAGAAAGTGTTGGTTTCTAATATATGTAATTCCTTTATGTTTGTGAGTAAACAGTATTTCTTGTTGTTTCTTTGTCAGTGTTGATGTGGAGAGTGTCTGGTTTGCCTACTCTAGAATATGCAACATATCGTATAGAGGGTTAAATAAGTTGTGCATAAGTCCTGCGTGGATTAGTGACGGAAGTCAAGGTGGTGGGTAGCACTGGGGGTGGGTGGAGGGGTAACTGTATGGTGGGTTGTTTGTGTATGTGTGTTTGTTTGTGTATGTGTATATTTTTGCAACGTATATGGTTGGTGTATTATCTTTTTGAAATAAAATTTATTTAAAAAATTTTTAAAAAATAGAATATGCAACATATCATAGTCCTTCTTTAAGGGTCTCTTTCAAATCTATGATACTATATCTGTGTGTGTGAGAGAGAATCATATCTATCTATCTATATTTATTATTAACTTTATTTGTACCCCGCTAGCATCTCCCGAAGGACTCGATGCGGCTTACACAGGCCGAAGCCACAAAACACAATATAATAGAAACAGACATCACAAAAGCAAAACAAATCAAACAATAGCAAAATAACAACAATAGCAGTACATCAAGACATTATTAAAACTGGTTCGGCCGGCGCACTGGGTACAAGGGATTAAAAGTGCTGAAATGGCAGGAGGCACGAAGGATTTCAAGTGCGGTGTGCAGTAACGATTTGTTATGCTAAGGTGCTATTTGGACTTGGGGTGGGGATTCCTAATCTGAGAAAGCACAACGGAACAGCCAAGTTTTTAAATTCCTTCTGAAAACGGCTAGAGTAGGGGCCTGTCTGAGATCTTTTGGGAGGGCGTTCCAAAGTCGGGGGGCCGCCACAGAAAAGGCCCTGTCCCGTGTCCCCACCAAGCGCGCTTGCGACGTAGGTGGGATCACGAGCAGGGCCTCTCCAGATGACCGGAGCGAGCGTGTGGGTTCGTAGAGGAGATGCGGTCACGCACGTAGGCAGGTCCCAAACCGTTTAGGGCTTTGTAGGTAAGCACCTGCACTTGAATTGGGCTCGGAAAATAAACAGCAGCCAGTGGAGCTTCTTAAACAGGAGGGTAATCTACTAGTGTTGAGCTCCAGTTAGCATCCTGGCAGCTGCCCGCTGGACCAATTGCAGTTTCCGAGCCGTCTTCAAGGGCAGCCCCACGTAGAGCGCATTGCAGTAATCCATTCTAGAGGTGACCAAGGCATGGACCACCCCGGCCAGATCAGCCTTCACGAGGTATGGTCGCAGTTGGCGCACAAGTCTCAGTTGCGCAAAGGCCCTCCCGGATACCTTTCTTATTTAAGACTGGATGGCTCTTTGTCAGGAGGGCTCTGATTACATTTTCTTGCCCTGGTGAAGAGAGTTAGACTGGATGGTCTTAAGTATTTTCTGTTGGTCATGGGGGTTCTGTGTGGGAAGTTTGCCCCATTTCTGTCATTTGTGGGTTTCAGAATGCTCTTTAATTGTAGTGAACTATAAATCCCAGTAACTACAAATCCCAAATGTCAAGGTCTATTTCCTCCAAACTCCATCTGTGTTCATATTTAGGCATATGGAATTTTTGTGTCAAGTTTGGTCCAGATCCATCATTGTTTGAGTCCACAGTGCTCTCTGGATGTAGGTGAACTACAACTCCCAAACTCAAGGTCAATGCCCACCAAACCCTTCCAGTGTGTTCTGTTGGTCATGGAAGTCCTGTATGCCATGTTTGGTTCAATTCCATCATTGGTGGAGTTCAGAATGCTCTTTGATTGTAGGTGAACTATAAATCCCAGTAAGTACAAATCCCAAATGTCAAGGTCTATTTCCTCCAAACTCCATCTGTGTTCATATTTAGGCAAATGGAATTTTTGTGTCAAGTTTGTTCCAGATCCATCCTTGTTTGAGTCCACAGTGCTCTCTGGATGTGGATGAACTATAATTCCCAAACTCAAGGTCAATGTCCACCAAACCCTTCCAGTTTTTTCTGTTGGTCATGGGAGCCCTGTGTGCTAAGTTTGGCCCAATTCCATCATTGGTGGAGTTCAGAATGCTCTTTGATTGTAGGTAAACTATAAATCCCAGCAACTACAACTCCCAAATGACAAAATCAATTTTTTTGAGTGAAGGACATACATTGGGTTGTTAGGTGTCTTGTGTCCAAATTTGGTGTCAATTCTCCCAGTGGTTTTTGAGTTCTGAAGGTAGCACGAACTAACATTACATTTTTATTTATATAGATTACTTGCATAGGTACTCACTAGTATTTGTTTTTCTTGCATATAGCTTACTGGTTAAGTAAGCACAAAGGAATGTGAAAGCTTCCACCCCTGTAAACCACACTGGTTTACAGGGTTTCCATTTCCTCTCTCTGCCACTAGTTGATCTGGGTGTTTCCTTCAGGAGCTCAAGACACCACCTGGTGCTGAAGTCCACAAGTGATTAACATCTTGCAGAGCCCTAAAAAAGGTAATTTGTGGAGTTACAATACCCAGAAACAGCTCAGCTAACAGAATGCTCTGGAAACTATGGTCCAAAAAGTATTTTTGCTAGCTTTGCCATAAAAGTATAACCCAGCTTTTGCAGTACCATGGCCACAGAATAAATAGTCTATCAAATAAATAGGATTGCTTGCATGCATGCACATACAGTTCTATGTAATGTGCGATGGTCACTAAAATGGAAATTGACAAGAAACTGAGAAACATCAGTCTTCTTGATTTAACCGATTTTGGTCCCTCTCTTTTGAAATAGTGCCTGAGAGAGATGTATCAACCAACAGTATCCCTTCCATCCAAGTTTGCCTTGGAACTGTTGACCATCTATGCTTGGGAGCAAGGAACTGGCAGAGCACAGCAATTCAACACAGCGGAAGGATTTTGCACAGTGATGAAGCTGCTGGTTCAATATCAAGATCTCTGTATCTATTGGACAGAGTACTACAACTTTGACGAGCCCATAATAGCAGAATATGTAAAAAACCAGCTGAGGGGAACACGGTAAGAATACTTTCTCTTGTTGCCCTTCCTGACAGATCCTTTTCTCAGCTTGCCCAAATACACCACCTGTCTTCCCTTCCCTCTCTTTTTAAATGATTTGTTCTTTGGCAAAGTTGTGTTGCCTAGATTTATCTATTTGCAAAATCTACATTTCAGTACACATGAGCAGTATCACCTACTAGACTACACCAAAACAAACACAAAAAAGTGTATTGTTATTGTAGTAGTAATTGTTACTATCTTGTCTTTTCCCCACATTGAGACTCAGGGCCCTTCCAGACAGGCCCTATGTCCCAGGATCTGATCTGCTTTAAACTGGATTATATGAATCCGCACTGCCAGATAAGGATAAACAGAAAACCTGGGATCAGATTCTGGAATATAGGGCCTGCTGTGAAGGGCCCTCAAAGGGGCTTACAGCCAATTTAAAAACATGCAGCTAAAAATCCACAAAACACAAAAATTAAAATGAGATTATGCAATCACATGAAAAAATAATTTTAATTAAAATATTATTTTCATGGAATTATAGAATCAAAAAGTTGAAAGAGACCACAAATGCCATCCATTCCAGTCCCCTGCAGGAACACACTTGTAGGAGTTATTAATCTATAATAATGTTTAACTCTCTCATAACCCTATGTAACATGATTTTTGTTCCTGGGTTATAAATGTCATTTCCTAATTGGTTGTATTATACAAACATAGAAAAAATTATGAAACTGTAAACACTTTGTTTTTGTGATCTGCACAAAAGGTTAAAATGACATGAAAAAGTTAAAATGGCACATTGAAAGATTAAAACTGGCAGCCACAAAAATGAAGTTTCTGAAGTATAACAACTACTTTCAAAATAAGTACAGCACAGTTAAATAGGAAATAACACTTTCAAACCAGGAACAAGATTTTTCAAATTTGTTACATAGTGTAATCAGACAAGTATTTCTTTCTTTTTTTATGGTTATTTTTATAAGAGTTTATATGCACCAAAATATTACTTCATTAATATAATGTGTGTTTTTTCTTCATAGTCCTGTGATCATGGATCCGGCAGATCCAACAGGAAATGTTGCCCGGGGGAAAGGTTGGGATCTGTTGGCGAAGGAGGCATATAACTGCCTAAGCATGCCGTGCTGCATGAAAGGCAGTGAGCCTGTGGATTCCTGGCCTGTGCAGGTAATGTTGACACACATGGAGCTCCTTTTGGTACCCATCTTAGAAAACATAAGTTCAAGTCATTTTTCATACAATATTTCATCATCTTCAGACAATTGTTCAAAGATTTGGAAACATTGTGCATGCATAACTAGAGCATGTTTTAGACTCATTCACATGTGATGTTCAATGAAAAAAATAGAATTATAGAATTGAAGAAATTACAAGGATAATTTAGTCCAGCCATGCAGGAAAATGTAATCAAAACATTCTCAACAGATGGCCATCTAGCCTCTGTTTAAAAACTTCCAGAGAAGGATACTCTACCCGACTCTGAGGTGATGCATTCAACTGTCTAACAATTCTTATCATCAGAATCCTTAAATACTTCCGGTTGGTGGCTGAAGGTGGAGGACGTGTCTCTCCGGCTCTCCGAAGAGACAGCCTGGTTTTCGAGGGTTTGAGGGAGTTCCTCCCTCCTTCTGGTAGGTGGTCTGAGGCCACAGAAGTAACCCCCCGACAGTGCAGACGGCCGACGGTATTTAAGAGGGGTCTCCCTCAAGGAGATCCCCAAAAATACCCGGCAACGTGGCACAGTGGGGATAGCCCATTTCCACGGCAGGACGCCATAGGCATCCAATTGCCTCCACAGCCACCGATGCAAGGCAAGGAAGAGAGGAAAGAGAGAAGAAGAGAGTAAATTTTACAAGAAACAAGACATCAATCTTCAAAGCAGACAACGACGTTACGGCTAGACCCTGATCAACAATCAAATAGCTGGAGGAAAGCATAGAGAGAGACGACTTTTGGGACAAAGAGAGAGCTACGTCCATTGAAATCTTCCTGAGCGCAGGATATCAACGAAAGGGTGAGACATACTAAAGCCATTGTAGTAGACCATAAAGACCTTTACAGGTGTACAGCCGGGTAGAGCGAATTATAAAGCTCCCTCCCGATTAAAAAGGGACAGCAAAACCGACAAAGAGTGAGAGGGGTATCTAAGGTCGTCCTCGAAAGAGGCGACCGAAGAAATCCTCTCGAATCTCAGGTACAGCGGGTTGTACATCACAAAAGACTTAAGAAAAGACGAGGAGGAATAAGACAATAAGGGTCTACAAACAATCTACAATCAAATATAAATATACAAATATATTCGAATAGAATAGCGACGAACGCCGAAATTACTAACTTGGAACTCAAATTTTGGAAACTTTAAATTTTGAAACTAAATGGGGGTAGATGATATAACTCTCTAGAAATTACAATAACGGCGTTCTAAGACGAGGCAAGGCCAGACTAGACTTCAACAAAGACAAAGATAAGATCACTCACTGACCTTGGAAGCCTTAGATACTAAGACCGAGGAGTCATTGGAGATAGACCGAGAGAGAGGGTGGCCTTGGGATTGGAGCCAGAAACGCCGGCAGCAGAGGAAGCAACAGGACACCAAGGAGGGAAAGAAGCGGGGGAGACGGCGCTGCCCTGAAGGTCGGAGGACGGGCGCGCCCCCCTTTGCTTGTGCTGCGTGCACGCTATCAACAGACGGAATCTGGAGCTTCATATCGCAAGAACTGCGGGGAGGAAGAAGGAAGGGAGAGGCCTCCACCGCGAGAAAAAGACGGCTGCGCGAGATTAAGCAGGCTGAGTGAGAGGACGCGAGAAGAGGGAAGAGGAGGAGATAATATCGCGGGAACAAAGAGAGTAGGCGAGAGGAACGCCAGAAGCAATCAACGACAGGGCGGAAGTGAACCCGAAACCCGGCAGATAAGACAGAGAAAACAACGCTTAAAGGGGGACGAAGGAAGCCCAAAGAAAAGGAAGGTAAGAGAGATTGGTAAAGACCAACGGAGGTAAATAAAAGGAACGACAAAGGGAAGAGAAGATTCAAGTAGAGAGGGTGAGGAGACCAAGACACAGATTTACAATTCATAACTTATAATTTGTAACTTGTAACTTTAACGTAAATTTCAATAGAAACAATATTAAAGATTAAAGTATTGATTAGCAATACACTTACGCCTGAAAATACAAGATGTCCACACCAAGCTCCAAAAGTAAATTGGCGCAATTAATTAAGACACAGCCACAAACCCCAATGCAAACGCAACCACAAAAAAAAGAGCCAGCAACAGAAGAAGCCACCCTTAAAGCCATTCTGGCAGAAATCAAAAATCTATCAGCCAAACAAGACACCCAACACAAAGAATTACAACAAGAAATCCAAAAAATAAAGACAGATTTAAAGGAAGATATAAGCAAATTACAAACAGATGTAGACAACATAAAGAGGGAAAATCAGAAAATAATCAAAGCCCAAGGAAAATGGGAGTACAAAACAAGCAAATTAGAAGATACAAATCAGAAACTGCAACAAAGACTAGATCTTCTTGAAAATAGGGAACTGGAGTACCAGTTAAGGATAAGAAACATGGAAGAAACAAAAGGAGAAAATTTAAAAGGAGTAATAATAGAATTACTAGCCGACCTGATGGATGTGAATGTAGAGACCATTGGACAAGACGTGGATAGGACATATAGGGTACCAACAGGCTATGCTAAAAGAAACAACACTCCAAAAGATATTATAGTTAGCTTCTGTCGAAAAAGCACTCGGGATGTAATCCTAAAAGAAAACACCAAGAAACCCATCTACTACAAAGGTAAGAGATTGGCAATAATGAAAGAAGTCACGCAGCTCACACTCACAAAACGTAGAAAATACTCATTTCTAACGGAAGAACTCATTAAAAAGAAAATTAAATTCAGATGGGAGAAAATGGACGGACTGACAGTAACTTTTAATGAAACAAGATTTTGGCTGAATACAGAAGAGAAGGCCAGAGCCTTCTATACAAACTACATCAAAAAACAAAACGAACACACAACACAGAGAAAACACCAAAATGGAAACCCAGAAAGTCAACCCAACAAAAACACAGAAGAAGCAATGATAGGAAACACAGGAATAGAGGAAGCCAGAAGTAACAAACTAAGTAAAGAAGGGAAAGAGCATAAAGAAAGAGACAACCCACTTCAAGAAAGAGACACTAAGAGACTGAGAGAATTCTCACCAGAAAACTACCAACTAATGCTCCCGCAAGAAATGATCCAGTGGGAAATGCAGGAAAACAACAATGAATAGGAATATAAGAATTTACTCGAACAACACCAATGGTCTGAATTCCCAGAGCAAGAGAAAGAAAATCTTTAACCACCTGAAACAAAAAAATCTAGATGTCATAGCGCTTCAAGAAACGCATATTATGGATAAACATGTTAAACATCTAAAGAATGATAAATTAGAAAAAGAATTTTACTCCTCGGGAAGCGAAAAGAAAAGAGGCGTCGTCATATATGTGAAAGAATGGTTAAATCCCAAACTGTCTTTTAAGGATGATGATGGAAGATTTTTAGGAATAAAAATTGAAATAAATAATCAAAAAATTCTTATTTGTAATACTTACTTTCCAAATGGTCCAAAGCTAAAATTTATGAAAAAATTAAAAGATTTGATTGCAAAACAAGAATATGATGAATTACTTATAATTGGAGATTTCAATGGAATAGTGAACCCAAAATTAGATAAATCTTACCAAAAAGGAGGGGAGGGGGGGAAATTGGGTCAAAACAATTCAAGTCAACTACCCAAAAAATTTCTATCATACCTGGAAGACCTAAATTTGACAGACATGTGGAGACACACCAAGGGATTAGATACAGACTATACATATTATTCGGGAAGACACAAATCTTGGTCCCGCATAGATATGGCGTGGGCCACAAATACATTAAATTTAAAATTAAAATGTATCAAGATAGCCCCCAGGACCTTCTCCGATCATTGTGCCTTGGAACTCACAATAAAAAAACAGGAGAATACATTCAGATGGCGATTAAAAGATAATTTGTTATTCTTAGAAAAAGACATAGAGAAAAACAGAAAATTACTACAAGAATATCTAGACCTAAATAACAGAGAAGAAACATCAAAAATAATGCAATGGGAAGCAATGAAGGCAGTGATGAGGGGTCACTTCATACAGCAGGAAAAAATTAAAAAGGTAAACAAAAATAAAGAATATAAAAGGATCATGGAGGACCTAAATAAAGAGGAACAGAAATTCAAGAAAAACCCAACAAGTAAAAAAACAAAATTACAACTAGAAATTCTCAGAAAACAACTAAACTTATTAGAAACAGAAAGCATAGACAGACAACTGAAATATCTGAAACTAAATCATTTCCATAATGCAAATAAAATTGGTAAATGGTTAACAAACAAGTTGAAAGAAAAAAAACAAAAACAATATATTACAAAGATACAATCGGAAGGAAAAATTTACACTGAGAGCAACGATATTGTTAACAAATTTACGAAATTTTATAAAGAACTTTATAAGGCAGCTAATATATCAAAAGAACACATTACAGAATATCTAAGCCAATCCAAATTACCAAAACTAACAGACAAACAGAGGGAACTAATCAATGGTCCGATATCAATAGTAGAAATCGACAAAGCTATCCAAAAACTAAAAAACAACAAGGCGCCTGGCCCAGATGGATATACCTCATTATTTTATAAAAAATACAAAGATGAATTAACACCTTTGCTGCAGCAAATATTAAATAACATCTTAGAAAATAAAATAATTCCCAAGACTTGGGAAAAGGCCAATATAACATTAATCCATAAAGAGGGGACAGACCCAACAGAAATTAAAAATTTCCGACCTATCTCCCTCTTAAACAATGATTACAAAATATTTACGAGCATTATGGCGGACAGACTCAAAATGTTATTAAAAGATTGGATATCTGGAGAACAATCAGGTTTTTTACCAAACAGACAGATAAAAGATAATACCCGACTAATTATAAATACCATTGAGTACTATGAAAAACATAATGAGAAGCAATTGGCATTGTTATTTATCGATGCTGAAAAAGCATTTGATAAGATTAATTGGGATTTCTTAAAATTATTATTGAAGGAAATTGATATCGGACACAGTTTCAGCAATGCAGTGGAAGCCATCTACACAAAACAGGAGGCCACCCTAATCATAAACGGGCAAGAGTCAAATACCATAATACAAATTGGACAAGGAACACGACAAGGATGTCCATTATCACCGCTACTGTTTATTTTAATAATGGATATTATGATTAGAAATATAAATGACGACCCTAACTTAAAAGGAATGAAGATTCAGAAATACCAATTTAAGTTAAAAGTCTATGCTGATGACGTGGTCTGTATAGTGGAAGACCCTTTAAAACACATAAATAATTGGATAAAGAAAATTGAAATATTCGGAAACTTGGCCGGGTTTAAACTCAATAAACAAAAAACGAAGATGTTAGTCAAGAATTTGGATAAAAAGTCCAAGGAACTACTGCAAGAAAAATCAGGTATAAAAATTGAAAACAAAATAAAATATTTGGGAGTGACTATAACCTCCAGCAATATTAACCTTTTAAAAAATAATTATGAATCTTTATGGAAATCTATTAAAAAAGATATAGAAAGATGGAAATATCAGAATTTATCTATATTAGGAAGAATCGCCACAGTCAAAATGAACATACTCCCCAAACTGCTTTTTTTGTTTCAAACATTACCGGTAATAAGAAATGACCACCTATTCAAAAAATGGAAATCGGATATAACCAAATTCATTTGGAAGAACAAGAAAGCCAGAATCAGTTACAAAATTTTGACGGATGAAAAAAAAAGGGGAGGCTTGGGTTTACCAAACTTCAAAGCATACTACGAAGCATGTAACTTAGTAGGGATCAAGGAATGGACTACCTTAAAAAATAAAGAATTACTAGCATTGGAAGGATTTGATCTCAGATTTGGATGGCATGGGTATATTTGGTATGAAAAGAGGAAAGTAGAAAAGAGCTTTAATAATCACTACATAAGAGCTGCGTTAATTAAAACCTGGGAGAAACACAAACCAAGACTCTATAAAAAGACACCGACATGGATATCCCCGTTAGAGGCAAGACACAAAAGAGAATTAAGCTGTGAAAATTGGTTAACATATAATCAAATTCTAAAAGTAACAGAGGAGAGAAAACTAACCATCAAATCGGTAGAGGAAATTAAGTTAATAAAACCTAACTTCACATGGCTACAGTACCATCAATTGCATGAGAGTTTTAGGATAGATGAAAAGCTGGGCTTCTGCCAAGAAAAAGGATTTTGGGAAGCGATCATGCAAAAAGAAAGAAATRTAATTAAATTGTTATACAAACAACTGTTATGTTGGGAAACGGAAGAGGAACAAATTAAAGATTGCCAGATAAAGTGGGCAAAGGACATAGGACATAGTTTATTGTTGAAGCAGTGGGAAGAAATTTGGAATAGGAAATTAAAATACACAACAGCCAGCATTTTGAAAGAGAATTGGTACAAAATGTTTTTTAGATGGCACTACTATCCAGAAAAAATTGCTAAATTTAACAAATCCATTTCAAATAAGTGCTGGAAATGTCAAAAAGAAATAGGGACATATTTCCACCAATGGTGGCTATGTAAAAAAGTAAAGAAGTTTTGGAGAGAAATACACTTAGCCACACAAAAAAATCCTAAAAACCAATTTTCCATCATCACCTGAAATGTACCTATTAGGCTTTTCTTACCCAAAATTTAATATAAATCAGGACAGGATATTTTTTATGCTAAGTACAGCGGCCAGGATAATATTGGCTAAATTTTGGAAGCAAAAAGAGACCCCAAAAATCGAAGATTGGATTTTAAAAATATTTGATATAATCCAAATGGACAGCTTATCGCAACATCTGAACAACTCATCAAAAAAGACAAACTGGGAAGGTTTCAAAGACTTTATTGTATCCAAAAAGAAGATGACGCTCACCATAGACATATCCAGCATTTGAAGAAGATGTAAGCATTGAAGCAACGCCGGTAACAAAGGAAAATGTAGATACATATCTAATTACTACAATGAACTCTTTGAAGATGATGGGAAGTCACAGCACAGGGGGGAAGTTAGGGTGGTAGGGTTCACTTTGGGTTGGGACTGCACCTCCATTTGTCTGTATGTATGTGTATGTGTCTCCCCACTTTGTTCAGATTTGTATCACTTCATACTATTTAAATTGTTTATTTTTTATGTAAATGGAAACTTGCACAATAAAAATTAAAAAAAAAAGAATCCTTAAATACTTGCTTATTTGTCTTGATATGGAACTTATGAACCACAATCATATTTACATGGGAGATTTGCAATGGCAGAACTGCATGAATAAACTATCCCATAGAACTGAATCATCAGTGGTGTGCTGAGTGATTGGAAAGTTGTTGTTGTTGTTGCTGCTGTTGTCGTTATATATTCCGATCTTCTTCATAATCTCCCATGGCAAACAACAACATCTTTAAACCTTACATTTAGACCCATAAACATCTCCCTTTCAGAATTACAATTGTAATACTTTCATTTCACTTTAACTGACATGGCTGCATCTTATGGAATTCTGGGATTTCTACTTTGGTCGGAAGCCTTAGGGTGCTTCCAGACAGGCATTTATCCTGGGAACATTTGCGTTTAAAAAATGTGAATGTTCCGGGGGCCCATTCACACATATCCCAGAAAGCACGTGCTTTCTAGGGTAGGTGTCCAGATGTTCTTCCAGAACTTTCCAAGAGAACACCCGGACACTCTAACCCCCTCCCCAAAAGCCTCCCAAAGCCCTTTAAAAAACAAAAGAACTTTCTCAGCCTCCATTAGAGGGGTGTCAGAACTCTCCTGGCGTATAGATGTTCCTCCCCCACCCTTTTCTCCTGGCGCGTCATTTCTGTGTACCAGGAGAGCACCGGCACCACTCTAATGGAGGCCAGGTAAGTTCTTTTGTTTTTTAAAGGGTTTTGGGGGGCTTTGGGGAGGGGGTAGGTGTTCTCACAGTTTTCCAGGCTAATTTAGCCCAGAAAACCGTGAGACTACTATCTGGACTGCCCCCTCAAAAGTCCAGAACTTTTGAGGGAGCACTCCAGACAGCAAAAATAGTGGGTTTATCCTGTGCCTCCCAAGAAGACATGAAATAAACTCATTGACAAATCTCTCCTGCCTCACTATTAGCAATATACAGATGTTTTCCATGCACACACTTTTTATCTAAGCTTTTCCAACATTTCTCTATCATTTGACTGTTTTTTTAAAAAAAAATCATCCAGATGCACTCCTGATGATCCCTGCTAAACAGTGGTGATTTCTACTGTATTTAGTGGGTCCTATTTTTAGATAAGGGTGCATAGGATTGCCACCTAGGGATAGATTTAATGAAATCTTCTTGATCATTTTGTTTGGACACTCTTGTATACAAGTTATTGGAGCTTTTCAATTTTAAAATGTGTACCCCAGCAAACGATGTTCAGTATTTTGATCACCTTTTTCTCTTCCAGCCCGCCAAGCCATTTGATGACCCTCGTTTCTGTATTATCATATGAAGCTGTTCTGGACCAGAAGAAGGGAGGTAGGGCAGAAAGAAGAGGAGGAGGAGAAATATAAGACATATACCAGTGAATCAACAGAGCTGACTACGATGTTAAAGAACTAGATGAATAAAATATATACACCATTTACAATATTGGGAGTAAAGACTCTGTTTGCCTACTACTTTTGAGAGTTAGAGCTGGTCATATTTCCCTTGGAATTTTTATTTTACAGCTGTTTTAGGAATTTAGCTCCCATAATCCATCCCCTCTAATATGTTGGCTAGGACTCATAGAAGTAAGAGACCAGAAATGTCTGGAAAATCACAGTTATCTACCATTACTTTATACAAAATTATAATCAAAGTGTTTGGGATTTCCATAACTTTTTAAGTTTTAGCATAGTTGCTCAGTAGTACTTCTGTTTGCTCCACATATTAAGCTTGATAATTACACAAATAAATTATACATTGCACAAATAAATTATAAGAAATACAATAAATTTGACAAGAACATTCAATAATTACTGTCATGTTAGGATGAAATTCCTAACAGTGCAACCCTCTTTGTGTGGTTTCAAGGGGACTTCTCTGTATTTTGCTACATTGCCTTAAAAATTGGTGATTACTGTTTTTACAGATTATATCTTACAGGATACTAAAGATGGGTTGCAGAATATGTACTGTTCAAATATTTTGTAAACCATAGCCAAATTTCAGCAAAAGTTAATGTGTCAAACGCTCTGTCATGCACTTGGACATTTCTCCATTTCAGGGCTTCATGAATGTTTAATCCGACACTCTGTCCCTTAACATTTGTTTCCAACTGTACAGTTAGCATCTATGTAATATTTTCTGCTTTTGATAGGTTGGTTAAGAATAATCTTCCTGGTAATGTGACTAGACATCATTGGTGAAACTATCACCATAAAAACATTGTGGCTTAAATCCAATTACAAATTCCCTGTAGTGTGCATCCGTTTAATCTACTATTGGATGACAAATCAACACATAAATCTCATTGTTTTGATGAGTTTATTCTGTGTGAGACTAGCTTATTGGACATAGGCATGTGATGCGACCTTAACATATGAGTCTCTTCAGTTTTGCTCAGAAATGAAATTATTTAAAAGTACTAAGGCTGATGTCTGGAGTGTATCTATTCTGAATCATAGCCCCTCAGGTGGTAGTGTTAACCAATAATATCATTTCATAGCTGTCAGAGCTAACAAAATCTGCTGCATTGAATATCCCTTTCCTTACATTCCACCCCTGGGCTGTCTTGATTCAGGCTTGGTCTAAACATACCGTTCATCATTTGGGAAAACTGATTTTGGGCTTAATTGTTAATCATTTTTGACTGTTCACACAGTTACTATAGATTGCATTTTTCAGCTTTCATTTCAATCTGACCACACTATTTATTCCTCCTCTCCAATATGTTTATATAACTGCCAAAATATAAAACTTAAACATTATATTCATTTTAAAGCGATATAGCCCAGTTTTTCCTGCAATGGACAAACATGGCACTCTTCTATAAAATTATTAACAAAGGGGGTGCATAGTTATATTATACTTATTACTCAATCTGTATTAGGCAGAATGTGTATTTCTGGTAGGCCTGGGTAACAACGGAAAAATTTGTTTCTAAAATCGATTCTTTTTTGGGGGTTTTTGCGTTTCGTTATTTAAAATAATTACAAAATTTTCTTTTAAAAAGTTCGATATTTACGAAAAAAAAAAAAAAAATTCAAAACAATAACGAATCAATTTACGAATCGATTCGTTAATGGCGGCAGCGCAGGGCTGGCGCATGGCGCAATTAGATAAAAGAAATAATTTGTATTCATTATTTCTAAACTATTAATTGAAGAAAACTTTGGAAAATGTTGGAAAATTTTTCTATTTTGTTTTAATGAAAGAATTGAACAATAATTAAGCATACTTATGCGTAATGACTAACATCACCAAGTTACTTTTTAAAACAAGAGTCTAATAATTAACACATTACTCTTAAAACAGCATTCTAAGCTCTAAAAACAAGAATAGTAATATTAAAAATCACACTCTGTTCCCTCTTGTCTCTTATCATTTTGTAGAAAATACCTACCCTGCTTTTAAATGTCATCCATATTTATCAGACTGCATGGTTCTTGACATTTAGGAATATTTTCCTCTCAAACTGTAACTGAAGCTTTGACAAAAGGAGCTAATTATCAAGAATCTGAATTTAATTTTTTAAGAGAAGCAGCAGGCTAAGAATATATGTGTATTATCAATCACTTCTAATGCTCTCCCAGCAAAGGACTGGCTGACCTACAACTTCAGTATAGTTAAATTGCTGAACCAAGATCTTTGCAGCAAAGAGCACAGGTGTAGTTGC